CACAGCATTTTAAACATGAATGTGAATATGCTGCTATATTTTGGATGGTCTGTTTGGTCACTGAATTATGGTTCACTTAAGTCTTAACAGCTGCATAGTGTTACCCAGTACAGAGATACCATAAGTACCCATTGTCACAGTGGATGCTGTGTTGAGTATCATTTTAGGCTGAGGCACTCCATCCTCCACCAAAGAGTTGGCAGCCGATATTCCTGAGCTGAATTATTCTCTGAACAGTGCTCTCAGCCCAGGAGATTTTCCTAGGCCAAGGTCATGCCTGCTACCCAGCAGCAGTCCCTGTGGTTCTCAACTCTGCTAAGTCCTATGTCCTTCACTTCCCCATAGTCATGGGTCCTAAGGGCACCTTTAATAAAATCTCCACCACTAAGAACGGAATTCCCATTTCAGAATCTCTTTCCTGGGGAATCTCATCTCTGATAATGACAGACATTAAATCTCTTTTCAATTTTCCATTATTATAGTGCCACAAATATCCAATGTGCAAATATTTCTTTGAAAAAGATTTCTAGAAGAGGTCATGGAGGACCAAAGGGCACATTTAAATTTTTGACAGATGCCGATACATCCTGTCTTTCAAAAATAATTACTTTAAAACAAGTATTTTTCTAGAACTCTTTTTTTTTTTTTTTTTTGGTATTGGGATGCTACACATGCACTCTTTCCTCTACACCCCCAGCCCATTTGATCTTTAAATGAACACAGCATAAAACTGATGTGTCTGATGGGAACCTGGGGAAGGCTCACAGATGTGGAGTGAGAATGGACGGGGGTGGTGAGAATGATGAACAGTGCCTAATGTTTATGTCATGATATGCTGCTTACTTTGTGCCAGGTACTGGGCCATGGCTTTGACCTAGCTTGTTATTTGATCTTCACAAAAAGCCTGAAAGGCTTAAAGAAGTTAAATACTTGCCTGAGGTCATGGAGAATCCCTTACTTCTGAGCTCTCCGTGAGTTCAAATATGTTTGACTCTAAAGAATTCCAGCATTATTGGCCTCCTAGACTGCTGGCAATAGTGCACTCCATAGGCGGACTAATTGGAATTCTTATAAACTGCAGCATCTGGAGACACACCTTTCTCACTGTGGAAGCAGAAAGGAAACTCCCTCCAAGTCCCCCAGCAGTAGACCCATGTCACCTATAGCTCTGCCTTGCAACACTGAGATTCCACACAAAAATATTGATATATCAAGAAGCACAGGGAAGTACTGTTGGGTTGCTGGGGATTTAGAGGCAGGAAGGAGGTAGACAAAGCCTCCCTCTTATGCAGGGCCATGCACTTGACATATAATTAGGGCACTCACTGAGTCGCTTAAGACAGACATATGGAATTCATGCAGAAAAACACTGAAAGGAATAATAGATACAGGAAATGGAAGAAATCCAGAGAAGGACTACATCAGAAAGATATCAAAGAGCAAACAGGCACAATAAAACATCTATACCTATATGTTTAAAATAAGTTTAGAAATGGAATCTTCTATGTTCAGTATTAGTTATTCAACGTGGTCAGAGGGTAAAATAAATAAACAGCTGTGATTATATGGGATACAAATAGATGATAAAAGTAAAGTAAAAGGTATATATGAGGAAAGAAGTTAAACGAGATATAAAACTATGTAGATAAAAGAAATTTTGAAAAATTTGGGTAATGCCAACTGGTTTGGCCATTAGAAGTATGTAACAAAGCTCAGGATGGCTTTGAGGCATTCTGAAGAGAAACAGAGATAACTAGTTGGTAGAGGGGATCACTTCACACTTCGCTCCTCTAACAGCCAGTGACTAATAACAGTGTTGATAGAGTGCTTCCCATGTGCAAAGCTTGAGACCAAGAGATCGGATTTTATATAATTCTTACTCTATTATCACTCCTATTTCATAAACAAGTAAGCATTTATAGTAGCTTGCTCAAGTGCACACAGCATGATTAGAGGCAGAGGGAGGATTTGAATCCAAGATAGTTTTGTTTGAGAGCTGGATTTGCCAAACTCTGTGCTCTCCTAAATACTCCAACTGGCATACCTAGCAAAATGAGGCTACTCATCACTTGTTAAGTGTGATTGGCATTTGTGAATCATAAGCTGTACTTGTTTTTTCTTTTAGTTGTAGTTGGACACAACACCTTTATTTCACTTGTTTATTTTTGTATGTGGTGCTGAGGATCGAACCTAGGGTCTCGCACGTGCGAGGCGAGCGCTGTACCACTGAGCCACAACCCCAGCCCCACTTTTTAATAGATAGATGTTATTCCCTTAAGAAATGGGCATTTGCTTTTTAGAATTCAAGTTTTCTAGGTTCAATTAAAATTAGGAAAGAATTAAACATAAGGCAAAACAAACAATGACAAAATGGACCCCAGATTATGTTGGAGGACCAAAATAAGAACATCGGAATTCTCAAGTAGTGGCATGTGAAGAGCGAACTCTGATGAGTTAAGCCACAATTGGAAATGGCCTGTGCCCACGTAGAGCAGTGTGTTCACCTTGACCCACAACCACAGAAAGCCTTTTGGTCGTGCACACGTTTCCCATCTGTTGCACACTGGTCTCATTTGCACTTGAGAGGAAGGTTAATAAGTCCGGGCACAGAAGCTAACGAGTTATTGGAATTAAAACTGCCTGTCAGCTATTTTCTTTTGTGCTAAATTATAGTACTAAGCTGCACTTCATAGCTTAATCAAATATTCACACATATTTTGGAAAAAATTCTTCAGAATTCATATTGTCACTTCTACTATCACGTTTGTCTTCACTTCTCCTGGTCTTATTTTCAATATCGCCAGAGGCATAGCACAGCATAGCTTTACTGTTTTTTTTTTAATTTTTTTTTTTTAGTTATACATGGACACAATGTCTTTATTTATTTTTATGTGGTGCTGAGGATCGAACCCAGTGCCTCACACATTCGAGGCAAGCGCTCTGCCACTGAGCCCCAGCCCCAGCCCACAGCTTTACTGTTTTGACTGGAGACCGTAATTTCACAGTGGACACACAAACACATACACACCTACTTCTACTTCTAGTAAAGAAACCAAAACAAACAATGTGGAGAACTGATTTCCCACTCATTATCACAGCTAATGAATACAGGCATTGATACATTTAACTATGCAAAATGGCTAATTTCCTCTTCAAAAACTCAAGGTAGAAAACTGAAACTGACAAGAGGATTTAAAAAAAAATTCAGTCTTTTAGGTATTTTAAAGTCAGTCATTATTCAGCCATAAAAGAAGAATGAAATTATGGCATTTGATGGTAAATGGATGGAATTGGAGACTATCATGCTAAGTGAAATAAGCCAGACCCCAGAAGTCTAAGGTCTAATGTTTCCCCTGATATGAGGAAACTAGTCCATAATAAGGTAGGGGAGAGAGAGAGGAAGGGGAGGGAGGAGGGACAGTGTGAGGGAGAACAGTGGAAAGACTCTGAGCTAACTTTCCTATGTACATATGTGAATACACCACAGTGAATCTCACCATTGTGTGAAGACATTAATAAAAAGCCCTATAAGTAAACAGAAGAAAGATCAGCGGGAAGGGAAGGAGCGGGGGAGGGAAGGGAAAAAAGAGGTACAGGAAACTGAATTAGAACCAATTAGATTCCATGCTTTTATAATTATGTCAAAATAAATCCTGATGTTATACATAATTAAAAAGAATCCATAAAAAGAAAAAAAAACACATAAAAAGACAATTGTTACTGAACCTTAATAAATGAAACTTCAATATTCCTCTAAAAATCAATCCGGCCTATGATCATCCTCAGTGGAAGAGGAGGGGGTAATTATTTATTTTACCAGGATTCTTTGCTTTAGAAGATGCCATGTAGGAGTTACTACACAGAGAACTTGAGAAATTTAAAATATGACTCAGTTTGTATTAAGACTTTTTGGGAACATACTTCATAAGATAAGGCAAATAGCTTATCTCAGAAGCAAACTTAGAGAAACAAAGCAAAAGCTGGAAACACCAGAACTGCTCTTGAAAAGAAAGAAATGCTGAAAACGTGAGCACAAAGATCGCTTCAGCCCCTCTGGAGCCTGTCTAGACTACCAGGCGAATTTATGGAGAAAGAATGAGTTTAGAAAGGGAGGAGAGCCAGCTCCTTAAATTCTCAAACTGTCTTGTGGTCTGAATGGTCTGAGAGACAAAGCAGTTGAGGAGGATGTCTTCAAACATCTACCAGTAACACAGGGTTTTATGAGCCAATAACCAGGAGTATTGCTGAAGTTGAGACTATCTTGATAAATTCATGAAGCATTGCTTTGTGTCCCCTAAGGAAAAAAATACCTAGATTTAGTCAGAGGCATGTGTTGCGGTATTTTTGAGATGGCTTTACAGTGAAATAAATTTGACTTATGACAGTTCATATCAAGACTGTTGGGAAAAGGGCAGTGAAGAGAGGAAACCTGTTACTTTTTTTCCTTCTTTTAATCAAAGAGTTCTCAGTCTCAGATTGAAGTACAATTTTAAAAAAATCTGAGAATCATGTAAATAAAACTTTACTTTTAGAACCCTGAAATATCTAAAAAAAAAAAAACACACTAAAGAATTTTTTTGTAACAATGTTATTTTGGCAATGTCTAGTAGATATAATTTTTAGTAATTCTTATATCAAGAAATAAAATTTGATAGGAAATCAGACAGTGGAGGTTACTGTCACATGCTATAAGTTTTATGGAGGTTAATATATATATATATATATATATATATATATATAAAATTCTGCTACTCAGATTATGGACAGTAAAATCTTTAGACATGAAAAGTTATCTATTTTTTTTTAAAGAAAGAATTTTAAGAGAAATCTGTCTCTTTAAATATCATGCTCATTTTGGGTTCATTGAAAGTAGATATCTTCTAAAATACTGTTCTTATTAATTTAGATCCATAATAGGTTGAAATTTAAAGCTAATTCACTTTTATTCCCTTGATCCATTAGTTCAAGATGGCTATTTAAAACACAAAATTTAATTTAAAAAAGAAAATTGATGTTCTACGTGAGTCTTTTCAAAAATAAACTTGAATTGCATTCTCTTAAATTTTCTAAGATACAAATTCTTCCTTAGGGATTTGTGATCTGGAGGCTCTTTATTAACCCTTTCATCTCAGCTATAAAATTATTTTCCTCAATGAATTGTAGTGCTGAAGAACTTCATTAAATGACTCATTTATATAACAAAGGCTACTGTTTTAGTCTTAGGGCTGGGGTGTAACTCAAAGGTAGAGTGTATTCTTGGCTTGATGGAAGTCCTGGAGTCAATCCTCCCCAAGAAAGTGTAATCTATGGAGTCTAGGGTGTCACAGGTCCTTCTGTCATTTCCTGCACCCTTATCCTGGCCCTATTTCTGAAGAAGATTTCAATATCTTAGGTTGCGTCCTGGGTTTGATTTGGTCTACAGATGGCTGAAGAGCTGACAGTTCATACCTGTCATAGACATTTCTAGACATTCCTTTAACTCCTTAAATGTATCTTTATCGTTTTCAAATTCAGCTCTCATATCACTGTGAATTTGTGAAAAATTCAAAAGGATACTATAACAACAAATCAATCTCCTGATCAAATGAGAGAAATCAATGTAACTTCAATTTTAAAGGGGGTAGTTTATCTGCTGGGGACAAGTAGGGCACTTTGTATTCTCATAGGATTTTCTCTACTCAGATAATTGCAAAGCAGTCAGCTCTCAATCATTCATATTGTGAACAGCAACTTTTACTATACTTGCCACCAGCCTCTAATTACAAACATTCATACCTGCTTCCACATACAGTTGCTATGGCTTTGAAGCAGCCGGATGCAAGTTGGTAGGAACCTGTGTAGCATCGGTCAATGGCCCAATTAAAAAGGTTTATTTGATCAGGATTAAGTTCCAATAGCAAGACAACAACTTCACAGCCAAGTTGATGAACCTGAATACACAGAACAAAGCAATTACTCATACTTAATGCAAGAAGGTTCTAAGAAAGACACAAGATTAAGGTTAGCCAGTATAAATTGGGTAAAACAACGGTGGAGACAGAGCATTCATTTTGTTTAATTTTCATGCCACATATTCTTCTCTAAGAGGATCTTATGTTGTAAACAGAACTGACACATAATAAATTAACTCTAAATTTAACTCTAGGGAAATCTGTTATGTAAGATACACTCATTCTAAAATTTTTAACCCTGAAAAGGTTATGTTATTGGTAATGTTTCTTTTTTGCATTTAAGATATTTCTGAGAAATATATTCATTTGGTTTAAATCAAATACAAAAATAGATAATCTTCATGTATATGAAGTCTTTTATGGAAAAAGATCAGAATATGATTATGAGTCTTGATTATAAAATATATGTGTGAAGCTCAGCTACTAATCTTTCAAATAGGATTATAGTCTCTTGGGCTGGGGATGTGGCTCAAGCGATAGCACGCTCGCCTGGCATGCGTGCAGCCCAGGTTCGATCCTCAGCACCACATACCAACAAAGATGTTGTGTCCGCCGAGAACTAAAAAATAAATAAATAAATATTTTAAAAAAGACCAAAATCTAAAGCAAAGTTATGCTTAAAAAAAAAGGATTATAGTCTCTTAGTGGGAATAAGTCAAAAGATATACTATAGAACGCCAATTAATAGTAATAGACTATATTCTTGAAAATTGCTGAGTGCATATTAAGTTTTCTCATGCTCCAAATGATAACTACATGAGCGACTACATAGGAACTAGATTTAAATATTACAGAATATATATACGTAAATCATGTGCATATTGCATATTTAAAAATATGTTGTATATGATAAATACAATTTTATATGTTGATTAAAATATAAATTTGAGAAAAAAGAAATATAGTCTCAATAGATTCATTGTAATCAGAGGCTTTCATATGGAAAAATACTACACTGGATAGAGCACTTAATTGAAAATTCCTGAAGCTACTGTCAAAATATTGGAAGGTCAGTGAACATGCACGTTCATCCAAGAGAAGCCTGGTGCCTCAAGGCTATATCCCCCTCATAAAATAACATCTTCCCATCTTTTCTTGAAATGACCCAGTCTCCTTGCCAGTTGCAACCATGTGAAAATCAAACAATCTGGCTTGTTTGTTTACTTGCAAGGTCTGGGTCCAGATGGGAATGATATTCTAATTGGATGGACAAGCAACTCCAACCTAGCTGTCCCCATCCCCCTTGTATAATTTGCAACAGATAAAAGCTGATGCTACTACTGCAAAGGATCTGAAGATAACTTTTCATTAAAAAGTTAAGTTTGACTTGAAAGAAAATCAGCAAGTTTTTGTTGTGCTTTAGAAACTTTACATTGAAGTATAAAATGCATAGAGATAGTATATAAGTATATGATGAATTATCCTGAACATACAATGGGCCCACCACCAGATCAGACCAGAATATTACCACATCACTGAAGACTCTCTTGAGCATTCTGAATAGCCTCTTTCTCTTTCCCTGATGCAACCACTACCTGACTTAACTATTAATTAGTTTGAGCAGTTTTTTCAGTTTTTCAACTTTATATATTTTTTTTATTGGTTGTTCAAAACATTACATAGTTCTTGATATATCATATTTCACACTTTGATTCAAGTGGGTTATGAACTCGAATTTTTACCCCGTATACAGATTGCAGAATCACATCAGTTACACTTCCATTGATTTACATATTGCCATACTCGTGTCTGTTGTATTCAACTTTATATTAATGGAGTTATACAGTATATAATTTTGTGTCTCATGTGATTTTAATTTGCATTTCCTTGATGCTACAGACTAGAGTTCATGCGTTAAATCCTAAACCTAAATGTAATAGTTTTCAGAGATGAGTCCTTCAGGAGGTGATGAGTCATACCATTAGGTGCTCATATGAATCTGATAACTATCTTAATAAAAGGAATCCCACATAACTTCCTTTGACCACCTGAGGATCCAGCAAAAAGATGGCCATCTAAAAACCAGGAAGTGGCCTTTACTAGACACCAAATCTGCCAGCATCTTAATCTTAAGAGTCCCTTGTCCCCACAACAGTAAGAAATAAATTTCTATTGTTGATAAGTCACTCAAGCTATGGTATTTTGTTACAAATGCCTGAATGGACTAAGATACCTGATTGTTAATGGGTTGGAGAGTTTTTTATGCTTCTTGGACATTTAGATAACTTCTTGTGAATTGCTTAAATTGCTTTTTAAAAAATTTTTATTATTGGTTGTTCAAAACATTACATAGTTCTTGACATATCCTATTTCATACATTTGATTCAAGTGTGTTATGAACTCCCATTTTTACCCCGTATACAGATTGCAGAATCACATGGGTTACACATCCAGGTTTTTACATACTGCCATACTAGTGTCTGTTGTATTCTGTTGCCTTTATTTTTCTATTGAGTTTGTATATATCTATTTGTAGGGGTTGTTTATATATTCTAGATAAAAATCCCTTCCTAGTTATGTGTTACAAACATCTCTATTAGTAATGGTGTGCTTTGACAAAAGTTATTAATTAGTCCTTCCTTATAGTTAGAACTTTATGCATCCTGTTTAAGAAATCTAACCCTAACTCCAGAATGAAGATATTCTTTTATATTATTTTCAAGAAACTTCAGTATTTTAGATGTTACATTTAGATCTACCATCTACCTATAATGTTAGAGTCTGTAAACAAGTCTGGATGGTGCCTGGCAAATGTTAGAGTCTGTAAACAAGTCTGGATGGCGCCTGGCATATTTCCAGAGGGAGTGGTTTGTGAAGTAATGCCAGCGAGCCATTAAGTGTGGAGATTCCTCATTGGTTGACTGATGTATCTAGTTTATGCTAATTAAGATAAGCTGTGTGGAATGTATAAATACCGCTCCTGTCCTACAATTAACGGCTCCTACTCCTGCTGTATCAATGTATACAAGTTGCTTGTCACCCCCGCCCCCCCCACTGCCAGTTATTTTGCTGCAGCCGGACTGCAGCAGTATAATGCAGTTTTGGATATAGTGTTAGGAAGGAATCAAATTACACTTTTTAATTTTTTAAAAAATATGGTTATTCAATCAAATAACTTGTTGATAAAAACACTTATTGAAAAAAACTTCCCTTCCCCACACCTCTGTAGTACCACCTTTGAGGTAAATAAAATGTAAATATATGTGATTCATTTCTTGCCTCTCTATTCTACTTCATTTATATATTTATCTATTTTCAGGTCAATATTTACTGTTTTAACTACCATAAGTTTATGATAAGTGTTGGTTTCTGCTAAAGTAAATCCTCTTGCTTTGCTTATGTTGTTTAAAATTACCTTTCTTGGTCTTTTACATTTCCATATATATATTTTAAAAGGAACATGTCAGTTGCCACAAATATCCTACTAGGGTTTTGACTGGGTTTGTAATGTCTCTATCATTTTGGTGGAAAACTGACATCTTTATATTATTGAATTTTCTAATTCATAAATATAGTCCTTTTACCATTTATTAGATCTTTAATTTTTCTCATTAAAGCTTTATATATTTCTATGTAAAAGGGCTGTATACATTTTTCTTTGATGTATTCCTAAGTATTTAATGTTAGTTCCTAATTAAAAATGCTATTATGAATGGTATAATATTTACAATTTTTTTCCTAATTGCTTAGTGCTGTATATTGAAATATAACTGATTTTTTTTTCATTTTGATCTTTCATTCAGCAATTTTGCTAAATAAATCTATAGATTCTTTTGGATTTCCTGTATACCTAATTGTATCATTTGTGAATAATGAGTTTTATTTCTTCTTTTTCACTTCTTGTATTTTTTTTTTCCTATGCACTGGCTAGGATCTCTAGTACAATAGTGATGGAGGTGGTAAAAGGTGGACTTTCTTGGTCATTCTAATCTCAGAGGGAATACTTTCTATATTAACTGGTAAGCATGATGTTTACTCCAAAGGTGTATTTTTTTAAACAGACACCCTTTATCAAACATTCTTTTCTTGGTTGCGCTAGTTTTTCCTCATTAGTGAGGAATGATTTTCTTCTGTTGTGTTTTTCTGAGAATTTGTCTACTTAATCTAAAATTCAAGTTCATTGGCATCAAGATATACATATGTTCCCTTTTACTTCTACTATGTCGCATCTGTAGTAATGCTCCTATTTGTATTAGACTTCTCTCACTGTTTTCTTGACCAGATCTGCTCTCTATTAATTTTATTAGTCTTAACAAATTCAATTTTTGACTTTAATGATCATTAGCACTAATTTTTTTCTCTCTCATTAATTTTTGTTATCTCCATTCTTTTCTTTGTTGTATTTTGAGTTTGATATGCTTTTTTTTTTCTAACTTCCTAAGATGGATGCTTAGTTCATTGATTATCTGCCTTTTTTCTTTCTCCTACATGCATCTAAGTCAATATGTTTCAAATGCGTTTCTAAGAAAGGCTTTATTTATAGCCCACAAATTTAGTATGTAGTATTTTCATTATTCTTCAGTTTAAAACATTTTCTAGCTTCCACTGTTATTTATTCTTTCACAACTGGTTATCTGGAAGTGTTTTTTTTAAGTTATCTTTTTATTATTCATTACTAGCTTAATGTTACTATGAATAGATAACAGAATCTGTATCATTTTAATCATCTGAATTATGTGAAACTTGCTTTATGACCAGTTTATGGTCAATTTTGGTAGATGCTACTGTGTTTTTGATCCTGGTGTATCATAATGCAATGTGAACAACACATAAACCCTCACTAGCGTAGCTGACGTGGGAGGAAATTGTGTTGTAAATGATGTTTCCAGAGTTCAGGAACTCAACGAGGCAGAACCCCAAAGACATTTAAAAACAATATATTTTTTGCTACTACTTACTCTTAAATCTTGACAAGCCAGAATGTTGTCAAGCCACTTATATAGGTATCCATCTGGGGAAAGGCCCACATTGTCGAAAACAGGGCCACAACACAATACTGCTGACATTGCCTGATAATAAAAGACAATAAAACAAGGACATGAAACCTGGAACTGTAATGGTATTACATCCAGCTGACTTTATAAGACGTAACTGCCAGAACTACAGATGATGAGGTCCTATGAAGGCAGTTATTCCTCCAAGATTTTAAAGCATTCTTTAGCCAAATCAATAAAAATATCATATTCCAAACTTGGTTTTTAAATAAACATTAAAAGTTTATCATTTAGCTATGTGATTTTTACAATTACAACAAATCTTTATATGATGAAAAGTATTCAAAACAAAATGAACACTTCATAATATGTAAAATAAACTTTGTTTCAATGATTTCAAGTGAACAATTTCTGCTTATAAGATATATTTATATCTTCAAATTTTGTTTTTATGTCAGATATTAGACTAATGTACTGTATTGAAAAACCTACGAAACAGCAAAATAAATAATTATGATCCTAATCAAAGTTAAAGAAAATAAAAGACTATAAATTTTGGTTGGGGAAACAGAGGATCCTGACTTAAACATGGTAGGACCAGATGTCTGTCAAGTTCATCATTTCCATTAACCATGCTGAGCTCAAAGTTCACCTGAATCAGTTATGGTGCATATGACAGAGCTGATAGGCAGTTACTTTTCTAAAAGACATCAGGCTATAAGAATCATATTTCTGCTGATTTTGAAAAGTCCTCATAGTATGGAAACATTTCTTGCAGTGTGCTAAGGAAAGAAGAAGAATAAAAGGGGATTTGAACCTGAGGTGAATCTGGTTTTTTTTTTTTTTTTTTTAAGGTTGGAAGTCAATTGACAAAGCAATGACTTAAAGAGTAAGTAAGCAAAACCATATGGTCTCAGAAAGGAGAAACACTGGATAAAAGTGAGAGCTTTAAATGTGAGCCCAGGTGGAATATTAACATTTATCTATTGACCTGTGTTAATGTGTATATTTGGAAGTTTCTGACATCAATCTATGTATTTATATGTGTGTGTCCATTTTTTTCATGTACATTTATATTTGATTAGATCACATCATGTTACTTACTTTGACCGTATTTATTTTTTTGTCATAGTAAGGATTGGACCCAGGGGCTTTACAAACACACTAGGCAAGTGCTCTACTACTAAGCTACACCCCCAGCCTTTATTTTCAAGACATGGCTGTTAGTTTAAGGATGGAGATCATTGATCTGACCAATGCCATTCAGCAAGAAGACATCCCCTACCTTTAATGCACAATACTGGTATCTTGTAATCTGATGATTTCTGTCACTGTAACGATCCAGAGGTGTAAACATAATGCTGAAGGGTCCTGCCCACTGGCTAAATAAGATGAAGAGATGGTGCCTCAAGCTTTGCTGGGGGAAGAGAAATCTTCGGTGGTGCACTGGGGAGGAAAACAGAGTTAGGGTGTACTGACTGGGTGCAGTCTATAACAGGACTGTGTGAGGTTCTCAAGTTTTGTGAAAGGAACACTCTTATTTTCTAAGTCCACTTTTCTTCCCTTTCCTTCCTTCCATTTTTTAAAAAGTTTTTGACGCATGCTAAACGTGCATTTCCACTGAGCTACATTCCCAGCTCCCTAACTCCAGTTTCCTTTAATAATGAAACTTGAGTTTTTAAAATCATTTCTTTCTACATGTGCACTTTTCCTCCCTTCATGTTGCAGCCAACTGCACCTTGACTCAGAGTGGGAAGGAGAGACAGACCACAGGACCTGCAGACACTCTCTTCACACTGACAGTTAAGGTGACTCCTAGTCAGCTGCTTCTCACAGATGACAAGTATTCCTATTGCTGCTGCCTGTTGTGAGGAAGGATTGTGGAATGCAGTATAGAGTGTAACCCAAATCCTAACTTAGGATCTTCAAGGATGAGGAACATTGGTAAGAAGGTTAGTAACACCAAAATAATGAAAAGTGGCTACATGACTTGGGTTTCAGCTTTTTGTAATTAAACAAAAAGCACTTTTTATGTGAAACTGACAAATGAAAATATTTTATAACCATTTGCCCTGTGGTTCTCTCAATAATGTAATACTTAATTACATTATTAACTAAGATAGTTCTCTCAATAATGTAATACTTAAATCAAATGTAAAATATATTAAAGTGATGTAGAATTCTACTCCATGTGTCGATGAGATGGCAGCAGAGAGCAGGAATATTGCTGAAATTATATGTTCGTCAATTAGCACAGAGACAATGTGATAAAATGAAGCTTGTATGAATGTTTCCTCTGAATTACTTCCTTCCTATAGAAATCATAAGAGCTCCTTTTCAGATGGGAACCCAAACAAAAAATAGAAATGACAATTACAAAACCCAGTCTGATTCCTGTTGCTCCCTTTCCAATTCTGTGCTGAGCTATGACAACCTGTTCTAACATGCATTTCCAAGTATCTCAAAACAAACAATGAACTCTCATCCTGGATGGGCATGCGGGCTAGGAGAATTGAAGAGGAAAGCAGAGTCCTAAGGAGCACAAGTGGTTTTCCAAGCATGAAAGGTAATTTGTAAAGATGTATCACTGCACCTGGAACACACTGAATCAAGTTGGCAACCATGGCACTAAAATGTGCCCGGATATCTTTAAGAATTTCAACTTCTTTGTCATTTTCAGCTTCTAGGAGCATGCGGGTCAAGTCCACGTATTCTAAGAACAAAGCTCCAAGGGCTAATGTATCCCGTTCTAAGGCTCCATTTGTGCTGGAATAAAGGAAAAAAAATCAAACTTTTAGACCATCAGTCTTTACAGGCGTCATGAAAAATAAGATTCACATCAGGATTCGTGGAGTAAAATCTGTTCTCTTTATACAGTTTAAGAAGAATATGGAAAAAGTAGGCTTTAAAAAAACTTTTTTGAGTTAATATATGTAAGAGAAAAGAGAGAGATGAAAAAGGAGACCAAAAGACTCGTTTGGTGAGGAGAGACCAACTCAGTAGAGTTTTGTTCCTACCTGTCACTTATGACACCTGCATCAGCCAGAAGCTCAAAAATGCGGAGTAACTGTAGCCTTAACAAGTCTCGCCGTTCTCGGCGCTTCTTGTTCTGTGTAGAAGGAGGTAAAATAGCACTCACAGTCACAGGCAAAGACATCGGGAGACTATACTTTAGGAGACTACTACAGAAATGCAGCGTCTAGTACTTTCACTTTTTAAGCATAAAAGACAACATACATGCTTTTTCCTTATTCCTAATGCTTAGACACAATGCTTGCTGATCAGAAGTGAGGTAATAAATACACATAAGGGGAGAATGCTGAGAACTAACAAGCCAGATGTTCCCAGTGGTGAAAGATTGAATCTATGAAACTAGTGGAGTGGGACAGGGGACACTGAGAATCCCATCAAGTCTGGTCATAGACGTAACACTGTGTGCCAAATTGCTGAATTTTTACCATTTGTTATCCTCACATCTACTGTATGGAAAACTTCTTTTTTGGTCATTTTACTAATCCTGGTAAATAAGTGAATTTTGAAGTGGACTCACTTCAGGGGAAATAATGTATCAGATACCAAATGAAACAAATAGTTTTCTTGGCCATTGACTTTCTTGTAAACAAACAAGTAAACTAAAAACTGACTTAAATTTTAACTCAAATCTTTTGCAAAAGAATGTAATACAACAATGTATACAAGACTAAATTGTTTTGAATTATATATTTAGGACATAACATGCTTTAAAATTGGAACCATAGTATACTAAATACTTGAATTTTGAAAAGTAAGGAAAATGACAAATTTTGGTAAAATATTAAGAATTATTGTTAAAGGCATGTGTCGGTATTGGCATTCTTTAGGAGAAGCTACTAGAATTGATTTAAATTCATGCCACTGTCCAAATAAGCTATGTCTTAATTATTGAAATTCAAAATCCTACCTCTGGTCTTCTTTCTAGAGCCTCTTTCATTAATGGATGAAGTTCTTCTACCAATTCTCTATGGAAGCAAAAGATTCCATTTGAAATTCATTGTTATTGATACAAAACTTGTCACCAAAAATGTCCATTCAATCCTAAATTTCTTGCTTTTCTTCATTTTGCTTCTGATATAATAATTTTCTGACTGCTCCAAAATTCCCTATCATGTGGTGAACTGTAAGGTACTGGTCTATACTTTGTATTACTGGTCTTAATCCCAGTGCTGTGCACGTAATTTTGGCTTAATATATACCTGTTGACTTGGTTGTGATTTAATATTCTGGTGACCTTTTTCCGCAAAATACCCTATCTGAATAATTAAACAAGGAATATTTTTCAAGTGCTTACTAAATTTACTATGAGCTATGAAACTAAAAATAAATTAATTGAGTCTCTATACACAAGAAAATTTCAGGACAATTAGAGAAAAAGAGATGGGTACAATTGCTCTGAGCTAACATTGGGATACATGTTCTGGAGACTGTTTTCAGTTGATTTTAAAAATGAAATCCTTGGATTTCAGAGCTAAATTTCTTTATTTGAGCTATATGATAAATAAAAAAGTTATGACAGGTACTAAACTAGTGAGGTTGCCATCAAAATTATTTTTCCTGTGTGGTAAAAATATGTTTGATCATTTTAACATACATTGTATATCATACATATATACCCTTCACCTGTCCCCACAGTCTCAATTTTTTAGATTTATACTTGTCAACCTATATAGTTAGAAATAACTTCTGAATTAAAAATTTCAGAAATATCTTCTGAATTGCTATGTCAAAACACAAAATTATGAGTTCCAGCTTGTCACCAGACTAGTACTAACTTACTTTGTCTATAATATATGGCATGGTTGAAAACTGCATCGTTTCTGGTAGGATATTCTATGCTGTTTGCTATCACCCTCTAAGAAAATCCAAGGACAGGAAGGCACAAACCCAGTGGCATTTTGCACTGAGAGACAGAAAATCTGGTTTCTAGTCCTAATTTTTCTAATACATATGCTAGGATTTCTTTATGAAAGAAATACGAATAAGGGCTGGGGCTGTAGCTCAGAGGCAGAACACTTGCCTACCACGTGTGAGGCACTGGGTTAGATCCTTAGTACCACATTAAAATAAACAGATAAAATTAAGGCACTAAAAAATACAAATCATCTTAATAGTCTCCTCTACAGAACAGATTCTAGTTACCAAATGTTACTTATGTGCATGGAGTGCCTATTTACATTTAATATATCATCTCAGGAAATTTATGAGATGTATTCTATTATACCTTTTTTTAAATTAAAGAGTTGCACTTTATTTCTATTTGTTATACCAACTTTACAGTTGAGGATGCTGAGGCTTAGGGACATTAAGTTTTCCAGATGCACCTGGTGGTGGGTTAAAAATGTCACCTACCTCCATGAATAGTGAAAGGACAAAATATGCAAAAAGATTTATGTTCTATGAGAAAGAACTTTAGGTCATTTCATCATTATTATTGTTATTATAATCTTTTTAAAGTAAGTATGTTAAGATGAAGCTTAATTTTAACTAATTAACTAAAACTAGTAAAATGCTGGTTCACTGGAACTCAAGAAATAAGAACCCCAAATTTTTATTATTTTTTTAAGGATAAAATCTAATTTTCAGTGAATATCTTAATGGGTCTTTTTCAGTTGTTTCTGAAACATCTCAATAATCTTTATTTTTCAAATAGAGTTTCTCCTAGATATTTGAAGTTTTCCCTTTTCCCTCTCCATGGAAAATTTTGATATATATTTTTTTGTCCATGTTGGATTTCATTGCTTAGCTAATACCATCAGAAGCAGCCCAAAGGAACATTTTACAATGCCTTTTTCAAAATACTTTGATGCTGCCTCATTGGAATTTTTATTTGATTGCCGATGCAAGATGCAAAATAAAGGAATCCAGAAAATCAGGTTTGCTGTTGCTCTTAAGGCAAGAGAAAGTACCATACAGAAAAATCAGCCAGCCAAATTGAAAACATCCAAAAGGGTTCTACCCATGCATCACCTTTAAGAGTCTGTTAGATAAATGGCAGATGAACAGATACTGTTATTATTTGATATCACAGCCTCTGAGCAGTCTGGGAAACGGGATTGATGGGGAGTCATCTTCATTTATAGTTAATTAAAACAAAGCTTTCAAGTGAAATCAGATCTGAGAGGTAAAAATCAAAGCTGCAATAACTAAAAGTGAAATGTGAGGCAGTTACAAGGAACACTCATTACGTGCACATCAACCAAAGAAGACAAAGGAAATCGCACGAAGCCTACAAATTCTCCAGGTGCACACCAATACATACACGCAAACTCAAGCTAAGAAAAGCAACTACAATAGCAGCAGCATGTATGCACGTAGAAAAAGTCATTAAGACTACTGTACCTGAAAACAAGGGAATTTGTTCTTCCAAATCCTAAAACTAAGGACTCTGTGATCTCAATGCTCTCTAGTCTCATCAAAGGCACCAACTGCTTTAACAGAACTCCCACCGATGGGGTGCCTATGGCCTGAAACAAGTTGATTAAAAGTGAAAAACAGGTAACATGGTAACTGATGGTTCCTTTCAACACATGAGGATTCCATTATAACAGTTTCAAAGTACTGAGCCACATCCCAAGGCACTGCCATCATTACAGGAAAAAAATGCACAAATTTAATACAGAACAAGGAAGGTAATTCCCAACTGGGACACAAAATTCTAAAGACAATTTTTTTTAATAACAGTCATCTTCTTTTTTTAACCATATAAGTCTATAAAACTATTGGAACAACACCATTTAATCAAGGCATGGTTTAAAGGTGAAAAGTTGGTGAGGAGCGAGAGAGATATGGTATGTAGAAAACAAATATGACCTCAGGGCACTTAGAAATACAAGTCACTGAAGGGTCTTAAGCAAGTTTCTCAACTTCTCTTTATCATCGGTTCCCTTCTTGCCAGAGAGGAGTAATAAATTATTCACATAAACACTCAATGGAATTTAGAAATGTGTAGGATGAAAATCTGATCCCATAATACTCCAGATGGCAGGCACAGTGCAATTTGCACTGGGAACTCTAGACAAACAAGCTAAAAAAAAACCTTACAGAATAATTCTTCTGAAGCATGTCATGTCACCTTGTTATCGTAGCTCACTGTACCATCGGGCGTGGTCGCCATTATTTCTGGAGTGGAAGCTCGTAAATGTCCTGGGCTCATAATACTGGGTTTTGCGACTCCAAAACAGAGAATAAGGTAGTTTCTCCACAAGGTAACATAGTTGTCTCCACTGCCCGCAGTGCTGGTTTTCTTGGCATTAATTGGGCTGCTAGAAACAGGGAGTCAAAAACAAGAGTGAAACTAAACCCTTGATTTTAAATATCACTTGTTAACGAAAGATCACAAGAAGTGCTCAGCTAGACAGCCGTCTGTCTAGGATGTTGTTCAGGGAATATCTGCACAGGATGAGAAGCTGAACGGATAGAACGTTATAGCCCCTTTCATCATTTAGAGTCTAAGATTCTATACATAGATAATCATACGGATTACTAAGGGAAAAAAAATTGCTCTAGAGAAAGACTTCTTATCTGGTGTTACTCAATGTTAAGAATCCTGGGTAGGAAACTTAGAAATCAGAAAGGATCATACTATTCCATTTTCTTATATACAATAAAAATTTAAGAGAGCAAATGGTAAAATAAGCAAAACAGAGGAAAACACACAGCTGCCTTACTTGGGGTCCACCAGAGGCATCACTGACTGGAGCCGAGTGAAGGCATAAGGCCAGGCATAGCTGAGGGCTGTGGGGCAGTGCTTGGGCAAGTTCTCCTGCCGGAGGAAGCTGAAAAGGCAGAGGACCCAGGGGTCTTTGACGGACTGTGCAAATATCCAGACGTGGGAAGGGCTCTTCACATCATAATGGCTATTGACCAGGACTGCATTCCATTCCACCAACCACTGCAGATCCACGTTGTGGGTCAGAGGTAACGTTGCCTGCAGGCACAGAGGTAGGCAGTCAACCAAAGCTGAACTGAAATGACCCATCCTCACCAGGATGAGTGCACCTTCTTCCATACCACAGATCTGCCATTTTAAAATCTCAAAAGTTAGTTATCTCTGAGATTCATAAATGTGTTTTTATCCCTGCATCAGTGTGTGTGTGTGTGTGTGTTAGCTGTGATCTTCTTTATATTTACTCAGACTGAAACACCTTCCCTTTGATTTAGAGAGATGGTTTAGCATAGTCGCTTTTATGAAGGGCATTTAACTGATGATTTTTTGAGATAACTACTTACTCTCGCCCTATGATAGCAAGCAAAAATAATGTTTCAAAACATCTGGAAGGTTATCTATATTATATAATATATTACATGATATTATACAGACTAGATGTGTAATATAACTATACATATATAATATATACAATATAAAATATATATCTTAAAAGAGAATGAAATAAAAGAACTGATATATACATATATCAGTAATATATGATATCTATAAAAACTGATAATAAGTGATATAATACACATATATGTAATAAATATCAGTTCTTATATTTCATTCTCTTTTAAGTGCAGATACCAATGTTTTGGGGACACCAGTTTTCAAACGATCTAGCTGTTACACCAGGAGAAGACACTGCCTCCGTGTCTGTTGGGCATCATCTCAGGATAAGGGATAATGGATGCAGAAACACCTGGCATGAAACTGGCACTGCTTCCCGTTCCTCTTTCCCCACTTCTGTGCATCTTTCTAAGTGCAGAATTGTTGACCTCAAGATTTTGATTCTAATAAACAGAACAAAATCACAAGAACAAAATATGAAGGCATCCACAGGAAAGTAAGATATGCATATAAAAGAATTAAAGTTGACAGTTCCGTTCCATGCTAAAAGAATTGGAACTTCCAAAAATCAGCAGACAACTTCTATACTGTGGTGGAGGTCCATAGTGCCTGGCTAACAGTTTAATAATTATTATGATGTCCAGAAGCAAGAACAGGACTACTAAAAACAGGGCTCTGTGTTCAATCTCAGTTAAAAAAAAGCTAAGAAAAGCTAACAATGTCTTCAGAGTTTGTATTCATTTATAACTTCTGACAAGTATCTGCATCAGGCGTCAGCAATGTGGATCCTGCTAGCTGTCCCAGATTGCCCTGCCTCTCGTAGCTATTTAGTTGAAATGAATCCAGGTTCTCTTACTGTACTTTTATTTTTTAAAAGTCAGATAACTAAAATGAGTTTCAGTTTCCCTTCTACTTGCTCAGGAAATCTGAAAGCTGCCAATATGCAAGCCTGGGCTCTCACTAACATTTCAGTTTTGTTTTTGTTCTTTGGTGCTGGGGCTCGAACCCAGAGCCTCACTCATGCTAAGCACGTGTTCTACTGATGACTTCATCCCCAATCTCTCCACCCCATGATGTTTTTGAGTTTCAAAAACTGAGGATCAAATGAGATAATAAATGTGAAAGCACCTTGCAAACCGTAAAGCACCACATACATAGAAGTTACCATATTAAAAATTAAGTACAATATGAATTAAATAAATATTACGTATGTATATTGTGTTAAATATAAAGAGTGAGACAAATTGATTTTCTGTAAGAAGCTTGAACAATTCTTTTTGAAATTGTAATTTGAAAAATATCTATTTTCCTAAGGCTTAACTTTTGCTTCAAATTTATCTGAATGTCTTCTAAGCTATCATTTGAAAAGCTAATCTTATTTTTCTAAGTAACTTTGCATTTTTTTTTTTACTAATCTAACTTAAATCCCCAAATCCAGCCACATAATTTTTCTTTGACACTCTCTTTCAGGTAGGTCCAGAGCTTAGATGTAAGCACTACTAGCAATCAGAATCGAACGAGTACTTACTGAATCCGAAACTGCTACATGAATAAAACTTTCGAGAATGGAAGAACTTAGCTGATCCATGACATCAATCATTGGCCTGTCATCATCCTGTACAAAGAGGAGGTGATTATTCTCCATGGGAAAATGAATCCTTCCCACCCACCCACTGCCTCCATCTAATACATGAAGCACAACAGCTTGCAAGACACCGATAAGGGGTTTGTCACAGAGGAGCGAGAGCCAAGACAGTGAAAGGTAGGGCAGAAAACCCCAGAGGTTCTGAGCTCTCTCGTTCGAGTTTCAGGGCAAGATAATTTAGAACTCCAATTCACATTGTTCTCAAAAGACATTTCCCTGAATTTCACAGACTCATACATGCACACAAGAACCCCCAAACCAGTGTAGTACATTAGTCATTGAAGTGTTCACTTGTTGTTCCTTTCAAGGAATGGAAACCCTACAAGAACAGGCTTTTTCAGACCAAAAAAGCAGCGATTATTTTAAAGTTGCTATCTCGCTAAAATAATTGATAAACTGTTGACAGTGACTGAATTCTAGTCAAAAAGAAACTTCACTGGCGAATAACTACAGACTTTCTGTGATATTTATGTGGCATGCAGCTATTTACGAAAAGAAATAAATTGAAAAAATTAAGAGACGGTATCTTATTGAAAATTCTTTGATATGAAGAATATATGTACATATCCATCATACATGGATAGGCATATGTTTGCTGCTCTTTACTACAGAGAAACTTCAAAACATAAAATGATTTATTGAGAAGTCTTATATGAAAGCCTTGGAATGTATGTATTCAGTGATAAATGAGAATGGTTTTAAAGAAGTTGAGGCTGGTCAAAGAAAACAACATTTGAGAAACATCCTTGACACAGTCTGGTTGAGTAGCCATTAAGAACATGGAACTTTGGAGATGTTTGTGTATATATATATATCTGGCTTTGAATTCTGACTCTAATATCCTACTTGTTGATTTGGGATTAGTCCTTTAGCCTCTCTGAACCTCAGTCTTAGTATCTGTAATATTAGGATAAACAAAATAAATTCTTATTGTGAGATAAATGGATAACGTGTGCAAAGCACTTGGCACAGTGCCTGACTTTGTACATGGCAATTACTATTACTGTTATCTATCGTAATTAGAAACTTAATGGAGGTTCACCAAATACAGCACGCCTTGGAGGTGCATTTACCAGATGCCAGCACTGTGGCCCTGAAATAGCCAAAAAGCTATATGAAGAAATGTGAACAGAGAGGATTGTGATGAGCTTGAAAATATTTTATAAAAACTGTGACCACAGTGAGGATCATGAAATCGAGATTAGTGATTTAAGACCAGAAAATTGAAAGTGGCATTTTTTTGCAAAGAAGTATGTGACATAACAGTCGGTTTTCTTCAATTGTGCTGCAGGTCACGAGCTGTAACATCTCATGGAAGGTAGATTGCTCTTGACCAGAGCGGGAGGTTGGCTGGAGTTGATCATACTTAAAATTAGCTTCCTTCTCCCATCTGATGAGGATGCGTTTCTTATGGAGCCATTTTCTTAACATCACTGAGATGACACAACTTTCAGTTAGCCAGACTGTTGGGTACCTCTCATTTTAAATGGAATACATTATTTTTATAGAGATTATTCTCCAACATAAATATGACATATTAATCATAAGATTCCTTACTTGGGAAAGCAACATCCTTAGTGACCAGGAGTGGTCTTCTTTATTGCTATCAGGATATATGACTTAACTTCAGAAGATACAGGACTCTATTGCTCATTAGAATCCCAATGATGCACTGAAAACCGTCAATACCACAGGTGACACGAGAGTACACAGAACAGTAATGTGTTATTTGTAATTTTTATCTAAATTTCAAAACAGTCGAAAGAAATAAATTGGAGAATTTGGAAGAGTCATCCATACCTCTGGCTGGCCCAGGGCATGAAACAGAGCTCGGATTTCCTTCAGGATTAACACAGACAGTTTGCGTGTGGCCACCTGGAAACTGCAGAGTAAAACCAGAGCAAAGCCTTCCACGGCGTGGAGGACACTGCAGTGAGGGCCTCGCTCCGACTGGATCCTGTGGCTGGCACCATTGGGAATGAGCTGTCATGAAGTAAGAACAACATTCTGTATTCAGCAAGAGACGAATGCAAGCAGGAAAAAATATTCTTGTATGTGTCTTTTGGCACATTTGACCTTGTAACCGTATACTAAATGACAATGACTTTGAATCAGACACTTCTATGGATTTGCTATTCTTCGTGAAATGCCCTAGATCCCTTTTTATTTTTCAGATCAACCGTTGCTTTGGAATATTATCAACCATCTGGTATGTCTGATGAGAAATAACTTTTCAAAACCTGTTAATAATAACAAAAACAAAACAGCTTCTCTCCATAGCATTTGGGATTGTGCAATATCTATATGTATGATCAAAATGGCTTAAGTCACTTTCATTTAAATTCTCTATAGACTTTTACATACTACTAAATTGAATTTCTAAACATTTTACATTCTATGTACACTTGCTTCCTTGTTTGTCTGTTAGATTCTCATTGAGGTTTGGCACATTTACACGATAAGTTCTGAAAGTTCCCAAACTGCAAACAAGTGAACCTAAAGCAGAAGCAAGCAAGATGATATGGCAGATTCCACCTCATTTCCCTTTCCCAAGCACATACAACCCCCCTTTTTCTACCTGTCATCTTCCAGCATGTGTAGCAGACACGGAAGGAAGAGGGACCTGAACACCATCTTTGAGGTCAGCCCATCCCCAGAGGGGTTCATCCCTGCTGTTCCCTGGATGCTGATGTGCTGTCCTGAGCCTCCACAGTCCTCAGACCCTCAGCGATGCTCCTCCCAGCCAGACCTCTCTCCATCTGCCCAATGCCAATGCCAGCTTTCTGCCTGGCAACAAGGACTCTGGCTCTCCTTTGGACAATCTTCTTTCTCAATCTACTCTCCAAAACGTTTTGCCATTCATGACTGAAGCATGAAATATCAAGAAGCCACGAGACTACATTTTCTTCTCTGTGGATACTGGCAGAACAACTCCTATGTTGCAGAGTAAAACAACAAAAACAAACACCTCCCCCCCCCAAAAAAAAACAACCAAAAATCAGTGGACAGCTAAAACTTTTATATATCTATTTCTGTACTCATATCAATATCCATGTCTAGCTCAACTCCCTGTCCTATAGCCATTTGCTCTTACAAACAGATCTGTAATCATAATTTTCTGGTAAAACCAATTTCCACAGTGTCATCTAGTCTGACCTGACACACTATGTCATGCCTGAGTTTCTCTCTCGCAGTGTGTGCCAGCACAGAACTAAGGGCGGCACCAGAGGAAGTTCTCCAGTGGCTGGAAGGAGGAACTCCAGAAGCTTCTCTGGGCTGCCACTCACTCACACGTGTAGTAGAATAAAGAACAAGCTGGTGGGGAGAGGGGGGAGTCACCTCTGAGTTTCTGATTTTGTTGCCCTGTTCATAGGCTCTTCCTTGGGTCTGTATGACCAGCTTCCACTGGGTGAGCAGCTGCAGCAGCAACTTCAGGGATGAGTCCAGCAGTGTGTGATGCATGTCGTTGACCTCCCGGAGCAGGAAGTTGGTAAAGCCAAACAGCACGTCTTCTCTCCAGTCTGAGAAGTCAACGAGTAAGCCCTGAAGAGAATTCTGTGCAATATGTCGCAGTTCGTCATCCATATGAATAGAGAGCCTGTGAAATGAATCAAAGACCAGGAGGTCACTAAGAGCTAAGAAAGAACATATTTGTCTCTGCTTCTGCTTGTGTCTGAAAAAACAAGCCTTCTTCATTTTTTGCTTGGTAAATGGTTCCAATGAATACTTCAAAAAACAAAGACTTCTTAGATTTCTTACAGAAGAGTTACAAAGGTAATAGTTTGCATGTAGCCTTCACCAGCTTAACCACTGAGCCATATCCCCAGACCTTTTTATTTTGAGACAGGGTCTTGCTAAGTTGCTTAGAGCCTTGCTAAGTTGTTGAGGCTGGCTTTGAACTTGCAATCCTCTTGCCTCAGCCTCTGAGCTGTTGGGATTATAGGCATGTACTACCATGCCTGGCTCCCCCCTTTCTTTTTTAGAATGCAATCTGAGATACCATATAGCATTTTGCTGTATATGAACACTTTCTAATACATTACTGACTACAGAATAAATTGGTATCAAATCCCATTCTTAATAGCAAGACACATTGGGAGCTGGAAGAGCAAAGGACACATTCAGAAGTTTAATTGGAGTTATGCTAATGATCCTCAATCAATTTTCTTTTCCAGGGAATTGGGAAATGTCTGGAGATGATGATGATGATGATGATTTTTGAGACAGGATCTTGTTACGCTGCCCAGTCTAGCCTTAAACTTGCCATTCTCTTGCCTTAGCCCCCCAAATCTGGGAATACATACTGGAAACATTCTTCTTTGTATAGTTTGGGGGTGTACTCCTGTTATCTGTCTGGTGGGTAGAAGCTAGGGATGCTACAAAACATCCTATGATACACAAGACATTTCCTGATGACAAAGAATTACCAGGTCCAAAATGTTGGTAGTGCCAAGATTGAGAAACTCTTAGTCAACTAAAGAATTTCAATGTATTCCTGTTTAAACAGAAACATAATAATATTAAGTCTGGACAGGTACCAAAATGTTTGAGAGATTCTTTCATTCATTTACTCAGGAATACTTGGGAGCCTCCTGAGATTGAGATATTATACTTACTGGGTGTGGCACTTAGGATACTGGGTTCCACCTGGCCATTAGGTGGGGAACCTGCACAAGAAGGGTGACAGGCAATGGTGGGAAGGGAGCGAGACAGCACCTTGAAGGGTCTGTGGGCCACCTAGGGAGGAACACTGCAGGGAAGGGGTAAGAGTGTCAGAAGGCCTGCAGCGCTACCTGACCTATGACCTCAGGCTAGGAACTTAATCTAAGGCTCGAATTCCTCTTTTGTAAAATGGAAATACTCACTGTGCTGTACCTCATAAACCTGTTTGGGAGATGATCCATGTATAGTGTTTACCACTACAGTGAGGACGTAGTAAGCACTCAACAATTAGCTATTTTTAAAAGAAGAAAATAAACAGTATACTGTACATTTTACAGAGGGAAACGCGATTCAATTCACATTCGAAAAAAAAAAAAAAAATGAGGATGGCTTGAAGAAGGAACCAGACCAAGTTTGAGAGCAGGTCATCACAACTCAAAGCCAATGAGTCATAGGGCTCGACCCAGGCAGAGAAGTGGGAAGGAAGGGGGAGATGGAGATCAGAGACACGCAGAACCATCTTCCAGGACTCAGGCTTGGAGGTGTTCAGGGTCAGAGAACATGTCTAAATTCATGGTTGCCCCCATGAAGAGGGGATTCTCAACAAAAAATAAGAACTTGTGGCCCCAGGGTGGTGAAGGAAATCGCTCAGTAATGTATCAGGGGAAAGAGCCGGGATTCCAATCCAGGACTTCTAATCAATAATCCATATGTTTCTCCACAGAACAAGTCTAGAACAAGCTGCCCCAATTATACATTATTAAAAGAAGACAGTATTTCAAAAGCTTAATAAGCTAAGCAAACTCCTTTCTTAAAACACCAATTGGTCCAAATTTTACAATAAAAAAGCAGGTGAAAGTCTCTCTAGGTTACAGATTTACACTGAAGAGGGAATATATTTGCTGTCTTGAAAGCCCATAAAGTTCTACAAAGACGCCAAGAAGGAAGTTCTAGGATAATTCTTCAGGAAAATCTTTTGCAATTAAATCTATAGTTCTTAAGTGATTAGAGTTGCTGAAAGAACACAGGCCTTTACCATGGGCTTCCAATTAAGGATCGTCTAAGGCAGGGGTTTTCAAACTTTCTATTTCCACCAGTAGCAGAACCATTATTTTTCAACAAAGTTTTATGCAGAGCTCTGTGATGGTTAATTTTGTGTGTCAACTTGCCCGGGCCACAGTGCCCAGATAACTGGCCAAGACACTCTGGGTGTCTCTGTGAGGGTGTTTTAGATGTGATTAATATGAAAATCAGTTGATTGGGGAAAACAGATTGCTCTCCATTCTAGGCATGGGCCTGATCTGATCAGTTAAAGGCCTGAACAGGATAAAACACTGGCTTCCTTTGAGCAAGACAGAATTCTCCAGCAGGCTGCCTTTATACTTCAGCTGATATTTCCTGGTTCTATGGCAGGCAGTTCTCAGATACAGACTGTCACCTTGGCTCTCCTGGGTCTCCAGCCCGCTGGCCCACCCTTCAGACTTCTGATTGCCAGCCCCCATGGTTGTGTTAGCCAATTACTTATAAAAAATCCCTTTTCCCCAATATACATATCCTATTATTTGTTTCTCTGGAGAATCTAATATAAATTCATCCATATATAATACAGAAAATCTGAGTTGCTCTGCTAAAGCTGGGGTAGAAGGCCTGAAGCCCATTCATTTGGGAAGGAAATACCTGCTTTGCTTCCAAGTAACTCTAAATGATCTTTGCAGTCTATAATGGTTTTGGGGGGCGGGTACTGGAGGTTGAACTCGGGGGCATTCTGTCATTGAGCCACATCGAAGCTCTATTTTGTATTTTATTTAGAGACAGGATCTCAGTGAGTTGCTTAGTGCTTTGCCATTGCTGAGGCTGACTTTGAACTCAAGATCCTCTTGCCTCAGCCTCCCAAGCTGCTGGAATTATAGGCCTGTGCCACTGGGCCCCGCTTGATTTGAAATCACTGGTTTATAAAACTGTTCTTGAAGTCATCTTCTCATCTTACATTTATTATTCCAATTTATTACATTTATTCCTCTCTATGGTTCCAAATGTCTTAGGAAATAAAGCTTTCACAGATAAAAACCCACCATGTTTAGGGCAAGCAATAGCATAACCAGGAACTGCATGCAGTTCACTGAATGGATGTTAACAGATGGTAATGATATGGGTCATTGCTGTGGGTTGAATTGTGTCCCCCACAAAAATCATGTGTTGAAGTGCTGATCCTCAGTACCTTAAAACGTGACTACGATCTGCAGTAATAGGATTACTGCAGATATGGTTAGCCAAATCAGATGAGGTCACATGGGAGGAGAGTCCTCTAATCCAATACGACTGGCATCTTTATAAAAGGAGGACACTTGGAGACAGACAGGTGCACTGGGATGACATCACAGGAAGACAAAGGCAGTGCTCGGTGTGCTGCTTCTACACACCAAGGAAAGTCAAACACTGCAGATGACCAGAAGCCTGGGACACAGCCAGGGGACAAGTTCTCACACTCCACAGAAGGCAGAAAGCCCTGGATCTTGGGCTTGCAGCTTCCAGAAACATGAAACAACAGATTTCTGTTGTGTAAGCCCCTTTTTCTGGCACTTTATTTAAGTAGCCAGAAAAAAACCAACACTAGGAAAGCACCGAGAATAAAAGCCACGTCGTGGTCTACCTAGAAGAAGCCTAAATAAGAGCTAATGCTGTCAGCTTTGCAAATGAGATCAATTCTCTTCTCTCTCTTTGCTCTCATGAATGAGTTGCAATCTGGAATCTGTTTAAATTCCCAGCCCACAGCTCAGGATCATCTGAAGGACTCTTTGGGGGCCTCAGGCTGTGGAGTTGTACTGTTCAAGGTGGCCATGTCTCTTGGAACGATGGTGTCCACATGCTCCGCCAGTGAAAGGGCCCAAAGATACTCCTAGAGGAAGGGGCTTTGGGGGTAGAAGGCCCAGCTTATGGCAAAAGCAGAATGTTTATAGAAGACAAAGTCTTCCCTGCCATGGAACTGAGACCGATGGGGAACTACCCCATCAGGACAAGTCACTCTGGAAGCAAATGAGGAACACGGGGTGGTAAAGATTTATGTAAAACACAAAATAGGAAAAAATAGCTAACTAAAAAGGAAGAGATGACTCGAGATTAAATGAGAAAGACATCCAGCCATTCTGAGTCCCTGAGCTCTGCAGGAAAGCAGCAGGAGACCGGCCTCCATTATTGCAAGTCCTTTGAGGTCAGGGAGAGGTGAGGGAACTCTGTCAACTCCCAGCTGGGATGTCCCATAGGGAAACTGGACCACTAGAGCAGAGGAGTTCAGACTCCAAACTAAGAGTACAACTCCCCTGCCTGCCAAATAAAGCCCTGTCCTCTAAGGAAGTTTAGTGGCAGTACCTGGAAAAGAGAACAGAGAGACTTTAAGAGAAGCAACATGTGGAGAAGTCTGACTACGGGGGAGGAGATGGCTCTCAAACAAGATTCCTAAGAAACTGAGGTGGTTCCCAGGAGCCTCAGAGTCTCAGGTGCATGGATACACATGAATAAAATCACTGACAGGGCTTGAAATGTCTCCACAGGGACACAGCAGTAAAATATACCCAGAGAAACCAATATCACAACACTAACTGCAGCTGTCCCTCCAAGCGGTTGGCATCGGGAGCTGTGACCATGGTTACGACTGCTCAGATCAGAGAGCAAATATGCAGGCACATGCTGCACAGACCCTGTGTGCCACCGCTCACGGTTCCAGGGACCTTCTGCTGTGATCGAGAGTAAGCAAGTGGCATGATCCCAAGGGCCGTGTTGCTCACACAAGGTTGTGGCTGAATTAAGTAGGACATATTCTAAAATGAGGAGAACGAGAACTTGGACAAAGCAGCCTTCTGGGTGGGCCATATGGGATACATACTTTTAATGCAAACCACCTGCACAAAGGTAGGCTTCCCACTCCCGGTAGCTTTCAATAATGTGGCTGTTCACTTGTTTTGCCAATGAAAGGGGGGGGGGAGCGTGGATTTCAAACTCACAAACCATATCCTGAAGAAAAGATCATTAGGAGAAGCTTCCTCCTCTGAACTAGGCAAGACAAAAACAAGGTCATTAGGAGGAAGCTGCTGCCCAATAATGTCACCATGTCCCCAGGGGCAGCAGAGGAAGAAGGGGTTTCAAGGTGAAGCCCAGGAGATAAGGATTTCCAGAAGGAGGGCTTGCTAATAAATGCACTGTCAGTCACTGTACCAGCTCATTAGGTGGTGGCCTCAGGGGTCTTTAAAGAATGGACGTACAGCTATTTGCAGAGCATTAAACTGTATCTTGATGAAAACGAAGAAATAGTGAATTTTGGGAGCAATATATACTATTGGAAGTACTTCCCTGTCAGATACACCAAACAAACTAACTGCTTTCCACAACACATACATATAAGAAGCGTGAACGCAAGACAGTGGCTAATGTAGTGCAGGTGCCACAGAAGACTGTGGAACTGTGTATGTATTACCTCAGACGTTTCCACAAATTATAAGGAAACATTGTGTAAGTGGCGCTTACACAATGGTATAAAATCAATGACATTTGGTTTCAGGAAAGTTCTGTGAATTGGGGCAAACAGTTTTACTCCTCTGAAGTTCAACTTCCTTGTCTAAAATCAGGGATGAATACATATCCAGCTTAGATAACATAATGTATAGGAAAAGCATTGTACAACGTGGTATATATATATATCATTCAAATGTGAAGATACTTAAAAACAACGAATTTTGGGGGGAGCTTATTTTGTACTAGGTCTTATTCTAAGTGATTTATATGCATTATTTAATTCTCAAAACACTATGATCATATGAACAAGGACAAATTTTTGAAAAAGGAGGGTCAATTTTGAAGAGCAAACCCTTAGATGCACTGGAGGAAGTGACAGAGGGGAGGAGCCTTCGACTGTTGGGGGAAAAAAAATCTTCCTGTGCTCAAAGAATGGAGCAGGACACATTGGGCAAGGGAGCGAGAGATCTCCTGGTCACTGGGGAGAGAAGAAAGCCCCCCTTTCTATGTGGAGAATCTTGGGGGGGCCCAGAGAGCTCAGCAGGGAAGGCTCTGCTAAGGGTCAGAAGGCGGTACCCCCAGGGGTCTCCCTCGAGGCTGGTAAGGCCCACACATCTCCAGGGAGCCCACAGGGAAAGATGCCTCACACCCAGCTTGAGCAAGACCTATAAAGCCAGGAACTTAGTAACTGGAGGTGTTGGCCTGCCTGCTTCATTCCCTACAAGGCTGTCACTGTCACTGTCACGTTCAACATGCCACTGTAGGTCCCAGGCTTGAGGGTCTGGTATTCAGCCTGATGCTGGCATCAGGCCTGGGGGCAGCCGTGTGGGACGTGTCCTTCAAACTCCTCACAGGGGGCTGAGCTGGGAGGGACAGCAGGCTGAGGGTATTAGTCTTGTTTTGCCAATTATGGGCACAGCCAGCATTTCAAATAAAACTGAACCATGGATGTGAGTGTGAAGGGTGGAAAGTCAAAGGTCTGACGAGACCAGGTCTCAGGTCAACTTGGCCCCAGTGTGACCACTCGGTGGGTATCACGTAGAGGGTGGCACTTCCAACCCCGATTTTCTGTGAGTGAGTGACTTCGCTTCTGTCCTCTGCCCCTCCTGAGGGGCTCTGAAGAGCCTCATCTTGTCATAGAGGTCCCACAGGTTCATGGATCCAGCATGTGGGTCACACACTCGGGGCACTCCCCCAGGAGAACAGCCTCTTTTCTTGCGAAATTTATGGAAAAGGCTTCTTCATGGACTTCCGATACGGTGGAGTCTTTCTCTTGGATTTTCAAGAATATTTGTTCTTTTCCCTCATTAAAAAAAAAAAAAAAAACACAAAAAACAGCACCCCGGGCTCTGGGCTCCGTAAGAATGTAGGCAATAATAAGCAGGACAGGCTATAAATAGCACTGACATTCCAGCCGTGGCGAACAGAACTCTCTTCCCACACGCCTGGCACCACCGTCTGGTCTGCAGATTCCTGCGTCCCTGGATTAAGCTACCAAGGTGATCCCCGAGGTGAGAGCCTCCTAGACAGATTTGCCACAAAACAGCATGACCCAAGTGCCACTGTCATCCACATGCCCTGGGTTTCCAGGGCCTTTGTATTCATACCAACCATCAGATCTTCACTGAGCAAACCACACTTTCCTTCCGCCTCAGGGAACTGGTCTTTTCCTACCAGATATCAGAGTGCAGAGGCCTCTCGTACCCCTCCAGTCTTACCAAGGAAAACAGGGTGAGGGGCTAAATAGCCCATCGAGGTCACACAGGTAGTAAAATGTGGAGCAGGGTGCCAAGTTCAGGCTTCCCGCTGGACTGCTTCCTTCCACTGCTTCCTCTGTGTCCCTTGGAAAGGTGAAGATTGAGCCTGGTTCATCTGATCCTGGGGCAGCCCCAGCTCCGCAGTGCTCCACGGGGCCATGGAGAGAGCTCTCAGGGGCCTCGTGGCCACTTTCAGCTGTTCACTCGGCAACCCCTCCTCTGTGGGAACAAGTCTCCTGGGAGTGCTGTCTCTACTGTGGGCTGTGACAAACTCACAGGTGGGTCCCTTGGGTCTCCAGGTTATTCTGGCACTGGTCTCACAGTTTTGATTTGTTCTCCGTTTTCCTGCCAAGTCACTGTGTTCACTAGACTTTGGAAATCCACCCTCTGGTCCTCTGGGGTGACCAAGAACTGGAAACCCCTCTTCCATCCGGGGTTAGTTCTTCCTCTCTCCTCTGCCTGCCCCCTTTCCCATGAATGTGCTCTTGGCTCACACTCCCATTGCAAGGCTTCGTCGGGGGAAAGGCCTAAGGTGCAACTGTTTAAAACCTGATGTCATTAAAGTGGGTCCTAAGCGTGGAATGGAAAAGAGAGGGATCCTGGGCTCCAGGTTGCTGGTGACAGTGAAACAAACAAACAAAAACAACAGAAGAACAGGGATGACAGGTGACAAACACCAGCTGGGAGGGTAGAAGCCTTGGTTACCGAGCACCAAGGCTCAAGGCTGTGACTTTGAAGGTTATGGGTCTTCAGGAAGCTTCACTGAAGGTTCTGCTGCCGGTGCTGGGAAGAGGAAAGGAAGGACAGGAGGCTACAAAAGCCATTCCACGAGAGCAGAGGTGAGCGCGAGAGGCTGGACTGGCTATCCCTGGGAGAGGACCATGACCACAGGAATTGAGACACGAGACTCCACGGAATGCTCAGAGTCTTGGGAGGTGTAGTCACATGACGGTGGCAATTTGGATTATTAATTTGAATACTGATGGGAAGGATATTGGCAGAAGGTTCTAATATTGGCTAGGCATGGGGCATCTCTCACTGGGTCAGCGTTAATATTTGTTATCCTTCCCTAAGCTCTCCTCTATTCCACCATTATCAGATTAACCAGCCTAAAATGACATTTTAAAGTCCTTTTATTCCGCTGTTTAAAACTTCATCTGTCTAAATACCAGTACTAATACTTAAGACTCAATGGAAAACTAACCTCCCCAAACTGATAATTCTTTTTATCTTTGGGTTGCCCCCAACTCTTTTTAATTTCTAAGCCAATGATGACTTTGTTCCCATTTCTTCCACTCCATGAAACTCATGATTTTGCCTTCTACCCTGCTTTTAGGTTATACGTCACTTCTGATTTTTAAATGTAAGGTATGCATAACGTCAGCTAGAGCTGCAGACCAATAGAAAATAACTAAGCTTACTGAACCGTGATAATTTCACTCACAGCAAATAAACTTCAAGTTCTACTTGGACTGTGCATTCTTATGGAGGCTGGGGAGGGTGGTAAAAGGGATTTTCGGTAGCTTTCTGAAGTACTAACAGTAGTTTAAGATCCCCATTACCCTCCTATTTTGGTCCCTGGTGGGGAGGGGTCAGACCTGAGTGGACTCTTTCCCAGCCAGACTCACTTCCTTCGCCTTCCTGAATCCTCCTTCCTTTCCAAAGCCAGTTCAAATTTCATCTTCCCCCAGAGTCACCTGTCAACTTCCTCAGTGCACAGTAACCTGGCTACTCACTGACTCAGGTATCCATTTTTTGTGCTGTTAATTTGTGAACTCCCAGGCCCTGGGTTACTGCTTACCTTACGCGTTCATGTATTCAATCTAAATTGAATTTTAAAGCCCTTGAATATGGGAATAATAATAATTTAAGCAACATTTCTTTACTCATTCCTGCCCATGCATAGAAATAATACCTTAATCAATAAACTTTTGTTGACTCTAAATATGGACTTCTTTTCTTTTAGGAACCATGACAAAGGATTAAGATCAGTTTTGGTCGAATGATGTCTCACCTACCTGGCCAACAAGTCAATAAGTTCAAGTTTTGACATCCCATCAGGAAGCAGTCGAGGAATAGCAGCAACACAGGTCCTGAAGAGATCGATTTTGGGCTTTCTCTCACCCCTAGCATTTGAAGACAAAATTTAAATATAGGTCAAAAGGTCGTGAAAAATTCTTAAAACCATTTGTTAAGTGTGGGAATGAAGACTGGAACTTAATCCATGCCTCAGAATCACAGGCTTGTGTTGGTCCAGTATTCTGTTTATTCCCTTTACAGTTTGACCATTTCTAGTAAAACTTTTAAAAATATAAATGTAGCACAGAATTACATATCTCTGCAAATGCTGATTATCAAGAGCATTTTATTTTATTTTTTTACTTTTCATTTTATTTATTTATTTTATTTTATTTTTTTTTATTAGTTGATCTTGACATATCATACCTTTGAATCAAATGGGGTATAATTTCTCATTTTTCCAAGTGTACAGGTTGCAGAATCACATTGGTTATACAGACACGTATATACCTACAGCAATACTAGTGTCTATTTTATTCTGCTGCCCTTCCATCAAGAGCATTTTATCATAGGCTTGCCATTTAGTTGGGATCTATTTGGTCTCTGTGGCCTGCATTTAAAACACTAGAATCACAGAAATGCTTAACTGTGTCAGCACGAAGAAATATATTATAGTCGTTCCTCCATTTAACATTAATAAATGGGATTTTAATATATGCAAAACAGCCCCTTTTACAAGTGTGACATCTGGAAGCTTCTTTCCCTGATGTGCCATGCTTCTCTAGACCACCTAGCCCCATTAAAAAAAAAAAATGTTTCCAAACTAAGTCTTTCATGACAACAGGTAAAACCCTATATATACATTTTTTACTTCTTATATATAAGTAACCTACAGAAGGCTTAATATGGGGGGAAATGCATAGGTTATGTTATATGCAAATATTATGCCATTTTATAAAAGGGACTTAATGAATGCCTATGTCTGAAAATGCATATATTTCCAGGATTTTGTATATACCAAACAATTGGGAAACAATTGTGAAATCCTGAAAAAAATTTCCCGTAGATTCAGAGGAATAACTGAATTTTGTAATATGTTATTTCAAGTTTTAGATATTTAAATAGGTAACTATTTGATTCTTAACCACTTAATTGATAACTTTTATAAGAAATTAAACTATTCATCAGATATTTCAAATAACCTAAGTGAGAATATGTAACAGCATATCCATATTCTGATGATTTAGTCTTCTGAGAATAAATATAAAATTGGTTACAAAGTTAAAGCAGTAATAGGACACAGACACAATAATGAAAATGTGAAGTGGCACAGAAGTAATCACTTCTGGGAACAGTAATGGTGGCCAGAATAGAAGAGCAACAAGTGTTTGCAAGGAGGATTCCCAAATCTGATCATCATCTAATAGCAATCTTGAGCTGTGACCTTATTTTTTAGAATGCTTTTGTAAGTGAAGGATAAATGCAAAACTGTTCATATGAAAAGCAAGATATATACTCTGACTTCTAAAATATTCTGCTTTTGTAGAAGATCGTAAGATATTTTTTTTCTCTCTTTTTCCTTGGACCTGTGGCATCAGATAAAGAGGGTTTCAGAGAGGAAGCTGGCGCACTGTGGTTTCTAATCAGCCGAAGGAGAGAGATGTCTTTGGATGACACCCACAATAGCTGTGAGTGGTCTCAACAGTTTAAACAGTTCTTCTAGCTTGCTCACCAGATGTTGTAAACAGCTGGGATTATATTCATATCTGCTGGAAAAGAGATGACCGCGCCTGGCCTGAAGTGTAAGGCGAACTCTGCCAGACTTCCAAGCTGATAAATCCAGCCTAGATTAGAAATTAATTGGTGCATGATTTCCTCTTACTATTGCAGTCTTTGCTGTCTCTGGGGTTTTTATGGGAAGCCATGTGAACTCCCAAAATAACACAATTAAGAATATTTACTAACAGATGTTAAAATTACTATTTTTTAACATTTGTTATTTTCTTTCTTACTTTTATTAGCCACAAAAGAAATGAAGAATGGTGATTGAGTAACACAAAATACTCAATGTTCAAGTTCAAACCTTAAACCAGGGCCTGGGAACATGGTGGACAACCTCAAATACCAGTTCAGATGACTGTTCCCATTAGTACTCTGTGGTCTCCACCCTCTTCCCCTAAATGCTTATATGATTCCCTAACATTTCTCCTTGTTCTTTTTAAGAAATGAAGCAATGAGTGATTTTCCACTCTGGGATCTACTTAAAGTCTAACATGAAAACTATTCCTAGACTTATTTGGGGGAATCTTAAAATGGATGAATAGGAAAAAGAAGAATCTAGAAAAAAATGTGAGGCATTAGTTAAAACTTAAGTAGAATATTTGTATTTATACTTAAGCTTATACATGTTTGAATATATTGTTTTGGTCTTGAATCTACCTTCTGATGTTTCCTGAATATAACTATGATTTTCCTTTAAAGCTCTTTAATTCTTTAATATTTTAAATAGGAAACAACTATATGGAAGAAATTTTTAAAGTATTTCTTATGTTTTCTACAGGATAAATAAAAAATATCTTTAAAGTATTGAAGGAATATGGAGTAATGAGGTTAAAGGCTTATGGATAATCTGTTAACTTATGAGGCAAGAACTAAAAAGCTAAAGAAGTAATTTTAATGTTATCAGTCTTTTCAATCTCAATTCTGTTATTATTTTGATTGAAAAGTCTATAGTGGTATGTCCTCTATGTGGTTTAATCAAATGTTTGGCAAGCTATAGGATAATATGCATTGTATAATTCTGTTTTTACCAAAAAAAATGAAAGAAAGAAAAGTACAGATGTTCCCCAGTTTAGTAATTTTTGACTTTACCACAGTGTGAAAGTGAGTTACATTCAGTAGAAACTACTTGGAACTTTGAATTTGGATCTTTTCCAGGGCTAGTGACAAGTGATTCTCTCTTGCAATGCTGGGCAGCTCCCAGCTGGCTCTGAGATCATAAGGAGAACAACTGATACTCTCCAGGGCACAGTGCTTCTGAGACAGGCTGCTGGGTAGGGTAGGGGTAGTACATGCATGTTCAATGTATAACATTTTCAACTTAGAATAAGCTCATTGGGATGTGACCCCACCATAAGTTGAAGCGCATTGGTATTTCCATATAGTACATTTATACAGGGAGAGTTCTGGAATGAATCACATGAAGCTAAGGGATGTTCACAGATTTGATTTCAAGTGGGAAATGCCTAGGAGGAGGCTTTTCATTTTAGATGCTACTAAATATATACTTAAAATAATTCTATACTTCAACTGTTTTAATCTTGAGCATTTACTATCAATGTGATAAAATTCATACAATATGACCTCTATATAGGTAACAATTTCAGATTAATTCTGATATTTGAGGCTGGTTATGCTGGGAAATAGAGGAAATCTTCCTAGTTATGTTTTTAGGAATTTACGCCACAGCTGCCAAATAAAATCTAATTCATAGTTCAATGACAAAGTCTCAATTTTTTTTAAAAAATGTAGAATTAGAACCAAATCTTAATTCTTATTGAAATTAGTGAAAAATAGCAAATGTGAGTTGTACAGGTTTCCTCTGCCGAGCTCAAACACAAACGCAGCTTTTGATTTTGGCAAAGAACATTTGAGTTCTACATTTAGTACTATAAATGCTTTCTTAAAATCTATGGCACAGTTTCACTGAAACTATTAAGCAGGAATTTCCATTGGAAACAAATTAATTTGAGATTTATAAAGTGGGATATGTATAAATTGGGATGTCATTGAATCACAGGTGATATGGTAGAGCTTGGGAACAAAAGATCACCTTCTTTTTCTATTTTTTTAACAAAAGGTCACTTCTGAAAAATGTGGACCAATAAATGGTTCAGGTGTCTCATATTCTAACTTGCGGGCTTAATGGTACTCAAAATATAACCCAAATAGATCAACTGCAGTTTGACTTCATTTTATGATCAGTTGAATATCAGAAAAAAGATTTGGGGGTGGGACTGGGAATTGAACGCTAGGCCTTCTGTATGCTGGGCAATGTCAAAGTATTTTTATTTATTTATTTAAACTACCCTTGGCACTTCTTACATCCCTGATTCTAGGAAGTGAGAATAAAAAAAAAAAAGAAAGAAGAAAGAAAAAAAGAAAGAATATCTACCTCTATCTTTTGCTTCATTAATTGGTCTTTTTTTTTTTTTCCTTTTTCTCTTCTGTAGTGATGGGGATGGATCCCAGGGCTTCGGGCATACTACGCAAGTGCTCTACCACTGAGCTACATCCCAGCACTTTTTACTGTTTTGTTTCGAAAGAGGGTCTCCCTAAGTTGCCTAGGTTGGCCTTGAACTTGTGATCCTCTCTGTCAGCCTCCGGAGTCGCTAGGATCACTGGGGTGCGTCACCAGGCCTGGTTGATCAATCCCTCATTGATAACAGCCTCACTGTACTCACGTGATCATGTCTTCGGGTTCTTTGTTTAACATCTGGACATTGGTTAGCATCATACACCGTCCTACTTCTTTATCCAGGTGCCTTAAAATGTTGTCTACAGCTTTTCGTACTTGAGAGTAATACAAGGACATGCCTGAAAAACATGTATTATAGTTACAACCTTGACTAAAACTATCAAAGAACAGCTTTAGTTCATCTTCTATAACATTGTTTTTTACTGAAGACCCTATAAGCCAATGATTTCTTTGAGCAGAGAGTCTGCATCTGATTCAATTTCCCTCTGCGTGGCTCTTGACATAATGCCCTACACTTAGCAGCTGTTCACCAAATAATCATTTACATTAAATTAATAATAACTGTAAGCGGAAGGAGAGACTGTGAAATGAGATGGACATCATTACCCTAAGTATATATATGAAGACATGAATGGTATGATTCTACTTTGTGTACAACCAGAGATATGAAAAATTGTGCTCTATATGTGTAATATGAATTGTAATGCATTCTGCTGTCATATATAACAAATTAAAAATAATAACTATAATACTTCAATAGGAAGTATTTTCCAGCAGAGTTAAACAAACAAGGAAATACACATTTTGATTTTTTTTTTTTAAACCAAGGATTGAACCCAGGGCACTTAACCACTGAGCCACATCCTCACCCTACACACACCCCTTTTTTAAAAAAATTCTTTTAAATTTTGAAATAAGTTCTTACTAAATTGCTACAGCCCTTGCTAAGCTGCTTAGGTCCTCACTAAGTTGCTGATGCTGGCTTTGTACTTGTAATCTTCCTGCCTCAGCCTCCTGAGCCACTGGGATTATAGGTGTGCAGCACTGTGCCTGGCTCACATTTTGAATTTTTAAGTTTCTGGTTAGCATAAGAAAATCCATCATCACTAGTGATTATATTAATAAAGGTCAACTCTTATTTTGGGTTAAGATTTTACTAACTTCAGATTGTTCTCTGAAATATATGTATTAATTCTATTTGTAGCAAAATATCATGAGATGTTATGTTATAAATTTTAAAATGAAAGAAAACATATTTTAGTCATTTTGTTATTACTCTCACTAAACAGTGTCAGTGTCCTACAGTGGAAAACAAATATGTACATATTACATATAGTTACATATATGTACATATAATATATATGTTACATATATTACATTTTACATATATTCACAGTACACATACAACAATGAAAAGCAAATAACTGTACTTTAATGAAATAATTACTATTTCTCATGCATTGAGTCTTTTGAAAAAAGCTTTACATAATTAAAATAGTGTAAAGCAACAAAACTGCTGTACATATTTCCATTATATCTTTGGAATCCAGGAACTACCTTTAAAAAGTTTGTAGTAGTTTCTAAATTTGGGTATTTAATAAGAAGTAAACAAGTGTGAATATTCATCTCTTTGGATTAAAATAGCTAAATTTAAAAGAAACTAAGCTCATATAGATTAGATTTACAATATAACGACTTTTTGTAGAACATGGTATGTTTAAAATACAAATTAGATAACGTTACTAAAAAATAAAAAAATGTAGTCTGAAAATGAATGAATGAATTATAAAGAAGATTATTTACCAAAGTACACAGATTTCTTAGAAATTTACTGTATATAATCAAATTTACTGTAGATAATCAATATTAGAGGTTTGAAAAGATTCACATAAAACTCAACATGTGAAGGGCAAAATATTTACCAGAAAGTTCTAAAAAGTTTAAAGGGCAGTAAAATAAAGAGCAGCATGAATTCATCCACACAATTAACACTGGAATGTCTCATCTGTTACTTTTACAAAGTTTTTTTTTTTTTTTTTTAAAGTGCTCCTCATTAAAGGTGAGTGATTTTAAATGCTTCACCCCCATTCTAACACACTTGACACCTACCTATCATTTTGGCTTCCTCTTCAGTTAGCGTTTTACTCAAGTATGTTTTCTTGACTCTCAATGTGTTTCCAGAGGGGAGTACGGCTCCTGTCACTGGCATGGGAGGCTCACCATCTTTCTGCTGCAGGCTGTCAGCTATTACCAAGAATGCCCGTAAACCAATGTTCATTCTCTACGAGGAATAATGCATTCGTGAGAAAAAAAAGAAAGGCCCAGTTTCTGCAGTGAATTACAACATCTGTCTTTCAGAGAAAGTCTGCTTGGTTTTCAATCTAGGTCAGTATGGGAAAATAGATCAAAAGGCACAAGAACATGGGCCACACCTATGAAAATATTGTTTCCATGGCTGTTGCTACATTATAAGAAAACAAGTGGGAAGGTTTTCATTAAACTTGGAGGGCATGTTTGAGATGGTTACAAACCATTTTGTTCAAGGGAGGCGGCGTGTACCACAGAGGGATAGATGGTCATCCTGTGGGACTGCTGCAACTGAGGTAAACTGAGGTGAACAAAAAGCCCTATGCTTTCTAGAAGGAGAGAGATACCACACTTGTTAATTCACAAATATGGAGTGAAGCATTCAGAGTTCCAAATGTGAACCACAAAATGAATATCACCTATTCTGAATCGAAAATCAAATTGATTTTTTGATTCACGAAGGCCAGCCAGTTTGAGAACAAATTTTAAGAACTTAGCAATGCTATGGAACCTATTACTAAAACAAGGGGGTGTATAAGAAGAAAGGCCATCCTGGGCCAGACTGTTACCTGTCTTAGGCTTAGGTAAGGCAAAATATTGGTTCTGAAAGATGACCTGGCAAGATACCTGCTCTCTACAGTGCATTCTCACTACAGAGTGTAAGACTCAGTTGTTCTGCACCCTTCCCAGCACATCTCATTGTGGTGTTTAGTTTTACATTTGCTTAATGATAGAGGACACTGAACATCTTTCCATAGCCATTTGTATTTCTTCTTTGATGAAGAGCCTTTTTATTTTGTGCATTTAAAAAATTGGGTTGTTTATTCCCATTGAATTATAAGAATTCTTTATGTAGTCTGGAAAAAGTCCTTTGTCAGATATGAATTTTGCAAATGTTTTCTTCCAGTCTGTGACTCTCCACTTCATTAAGTGTTGTTTTTTTAAAGGGTAGATCTTTTAAACATTTTTGGCAATGTTCAATTTACTAACATTTTCTTGCATAATTTATGAGTTTCATGTCTCAGGAATTTTTGCACAACTGAAGGTGACAAAGATTTTTCTCTTAAAATCTTTTTTTTCCAGAATATTTATTGTGTTGGATTTTACCTTTAAATTTATGATCCATTTTGAGTTCATTTTTGTTTATAGACTTATTTATGGGTTGAAGTTCATTATTTTGCAGGTGGATTTCCAATTGTCCAATTTATTGGAAAAACTATCCTTTATCCATTGAAGTAACTTAGATCTGTCAATGAAAATAAACTGGCCATTTATGCATGGGTCTATTTCTGGCTTTTCTATTCTGATCATTGGGTCTTTATACTCATCCTTCTGCCAATATCACGTGGGGAAGTGACTGCTGTATAACCTATAAAAATTCTAAGATCAGATCATGCTGACTAGTGCTCCAACTTTATTCCTTTTTTTCAAAATTATGTTAGTTATTCTAATTGCTTTTCTATATAAAATTTAAAATCAACTTGTTCATAAAAAGCTACAAGGATTTTAATTGGAATTATTATTGGCATTATAGTTTATATAGATCAATTTGGGCACAGGTGAACTCTTGACAACACCAAGTCTTTAAGTCTATTATAATTAATATTTCTCTTCACTTAATCAGTTCATCTTTGATTTCAACATTTTGTAGTTTTCAATGTATTTTATCAGTTTTACTGCTAAGTATTTTTTTTGCATTTATTTGCATAAATAATTTGCATTATTGCAAACTGTTCAATTTCCAATTGTTCACTACTATAAAACACAAATCCATTGGTTCATTTATCTTGTATCATGCAAACTTCCTAAAATCAATTATTAATTCTAGCAGGGGTTCTGTAGGTTCTTGGGGATTTTCTACATAGATAGTCATGTTGCCTGTGAAAGAAGACAACATTCTATTTTCATCTCCAATTTATTTGCCTTTTATTTCTTGCCTCTAACACTAGGTAGGACCTCCAGTCCCATGTTATTTTAGATTAAGGCAAAAGTTAGAGAAATTGATGACCCAGCTGCTCTTCTCACAGATAAACAAGTTCTCACGAGGATAAGGGGACATACAGGAAGTTACCTAGGTTCAAACTATAGCAAGACATTTACCTGGAAATGATATAACTGCTGAGTAGTGGTGTGATGTGCTTTATGGTATGACAACTCTTTAGATATCCAGACTTTGTTCCACAAGCTATTTCCAAAATATTACTTAAGACCTAATAAACAGGATATGTTTCTGGAGAAACTACCCTATAACATATTTCATCAAATGAATGACATCTGCTTCATAGATTATTCTAATCCTATGTCTGCTTTTGAGGAGGCTCATGACTGTGCCTTTGGCCTTATAACCACCAACTACTAACAAATAAACTGTTCCATAATCCTGTAAGATCAAAAGATGTGGAAGACAATATCCCAATATTTTCTCTTTTGGGTATTTTACTTTAAAACTAAAATTTCAAGTGTTCATCATACAGAGAGATTAAATAACTGAACGAGATGTTAGAGAAAAAAATCAAGTATAAGTTTTATAGATAATAGTAGCTTTTAACATTTCTTTTTTTTTTCCTTTTGAGACATGGTCTTACCATATTACTCAGGTTGGTCTTGAACTTATGAGCTCACGTGACCAACCACCTCAGCCTCTCAAGTAGCTGGGAGTATGTCATGTTCTTTTAAGACAAGTAACCCAGTAATTCTGAGAACGGATTGTTAAAACAGTAGAGATATGAATACTAAGAAAATAATATGTTGAGAAAGTCTGCAGCAAGCAAAGACTCTACCCTAGTCCTGGACCTCCATTCAGCCAAAAGGCTGTGGCTTTGGCCCCTCACCCGGGCCTGCAGATCTTGGCTGCAGTCATTTTGGTAATATGCCAGTTTATTAGCCACCAGACAGAAGTTCCCATTTTTGGACTTCCCGTTGTTGCTAGACATGTGCAACTTTAGTATCAGGAACAGAGTGCAAGGTGTGGTGGGAAGGAGCATGGAGATACTGTGATCTCTCTGCTACTAAAAAGCTTCCTATGTTGATCCTCTGGGCCTCTTTTCCCACTGACAGAATAAAGGAGCTGAACCGTATTGCAGTGATGATATAAATGATCTTTTAAAAAAATGTATCATGTACAATTTTCTTCTTTCTTTCCTCTTTCCCCCTTTCTTCCTTTGTAGTTTGTGATGCACTCTTCTTGTATCACTATTTTATGAAGTGTGATAGAAAAGCATTTTGTCCATTTCAGAGAAGTAAATGTCACATAGCTAATAAAAGCGTCAGTGCTGGTGGCAAGTGTCAAATCCAAGCTGTGCTGGCTTCTGGTCCAGTATTCCTTCTATAATCTTATAGGAAAAGGACTTTGCAGAGGTAGCTTGCCATATTTCTGATGGTGTTTTTGAAAGTGTAAGTGTGTTATTCATTTGCATACCCCTGACTCCACATTGTGCCCATTCTGGATCCAAGTCCATCCACTTTGGACTCATCTCCACAATCTGCCTCACCCTTGAGCAGGGGTGCTGTCACAGAAAATATGCTCACATATTATTTAATTTCACTAGATTTTATGACATTTCATTACATGTATTTGTTCTTCTCTGTTTTATTACTTCCAAATACTAAATTTGTTAATCTGCATCAACATAGTTCTAAGTAAAAGCATTTACTTTTCTAAATAAAATAACCTGAATACTTGTTTAATGAAAGGTAGCACAAAAACATTTCATCATTCTAAATCTATTCATGCAAAATTTTACTTCTGAATCCCCATTATTTGAATCTGGACATGCAGAGAAACAAATATAAGACTTTTGAGAGAAATCATCCCTCATCCTGTTCCCCAATGTTGCAAAGCAAAGGTATGATTCTGTGAATGCATGCTCTGTTAGAAGTACATAAAAGGATCATTCATACCTCTGGATTGAGACTGAAAGCTTTAGCTGGTTTTCCCACACAAAGAAAATCAAAAATGATTTCTTTCATTGCAAAATCTAAACGTTCCTGGAGAGAACAAAAAAAAAAAAAAACCACACAAAACAATATAAAAATGTTGAAGTACACATTTAACATGAAATGGTTATTTTCATCATATGTACCAAACAGGTGGCTACTAGAAAAAAAGGGATACTGCTTAGTTTTACAGATCACAGAGAATCCCTGAGGGAAGATCATGCCCATCTGAGCTGCTGGCAGAGCTGCTTCTGCTTTTGCTTGCTGTGCAAGGATACCTTCATTATATAAGAGATGGAATTAGCTCTGAAAGCAGAAAATGACTGATGACACAGAACAAAAATCAAAACACTTGGTGTCTGAACTTAGAAACAGGTCAAATTATTCCTACTCATACTACAGCTGCTGGTAACTTCTTGTATTTTTATGATCTGGCTGCAAGATGACCATTTTCCTCTATTCTCTAATATCTTTTGGTTCATATTATAGCAAATAATTCTACAAGTAAGAATAATTAACAAGACATATTAAGGTTATTTAAATAAGACCATGTCAGTGAGATTCTAGTAATTTGAGATAGTGGCTACTAAGATATGACATGGTCATTTTATACAATATATTCCTGAATAATCAAAGCACATTGTCAACCACCTCATAACTATATGTAGAAAAGTTACATTATTTTATTGTGTATGACTTCCTTTGACCTACACAATTCTGACACATACTGGGCAAGCATTTTCATCCCCGTTTTAGAGATATAGAAACTGTGAAAAAAGGTGTTCTCTGACTTGTTTGAGATTAAAAGGGCTGGCTCAAAGAACTGGTGTAAGTCTTTTCATATTCCTCTGTAAATCATGAGGAGGTCAAAGTTGTAAGACTATCAACCCATAAAGTATTTTATAAAGTAAAAGTTGGGTTTGAGGATATAGTTAAATGGAAGAGTATGAAGTCAGTATGTGTGAAGCCCTCAGTTCCATCCCAATACAAACAAAACTAAGAATAACAACAACAACAACAAGAAAAGAGTCAAAATCTTAGTTCTAAATAGTTAATAGTAAAATACATACTAAAAATTGTGTTTAATATGACTGGACCTAGTTTTAAAGTAAAGTAGCATATGTAAAGTGCAAGAACGATTTTTGGCAATGAATAGATTTCCTTGACAAATGTTAATATTCTTTTTTCACAGACGAAAGTTAGAACATTATTAACTTACTCCACAAATTTCAATTGTCTTAAAAATACTTCCTCCAAACATTGGATTCTTTTGTTCTTTCAGAATGCAGAGCAGAGAAAAAAAAAACAGGGACAGAGAAGTCAAGAGACATTTTTACTAACAGACTTCATGACCTCAGATTAGTCATTTAGACTTGGTCTCTCAATTTCTTTATTTGCCAGATGCTGAAAATACGTCATATACTGATGTCACAATTTGTTTTGAAGTAAAAGAATAGGGTATGTGTGAAAACACTTAAAACCTTCAGAAAAGTCTGAACACGTAGGATATTGGAGACTTTGCATCTTTTAGTATTTCGTAAGAAAGAGCCTGGCTGCTTAAAAGCAATTAGAAGATTCTCACTGGCAGAAACTTCTCCATTACCTGGGCAATGAACTGGATGATTTTCACAAAGATGTTCAGAGGCATATCCCTGGGCACCACACCGCGGGACCCTTTGGGGAAAAGTGTTGTGATGATGGTTATAAGTCGGCTGGAAAATAAGGGGGGAAAAGAGAAAACAAGCAAGATTGGCTGAGCTCCAGTTCTTTAAGGGAAAAGGGCAGATGTTTCATCTTATCTAAGTATCAGAGAATTCAGAAAAACAAACCACCTCATCCTTTTCCATTAGCGTAATTATTCTATGAAATTTATTTTTGGAAAACTAAGGGCAGTTAGAAAATTATGGCTGTTTTCTTTGTGAAAGTGGTGAATGCAATCCTGGAAGTAGGACTCGTCCATCCTGGTAGAGGCTGGAGTTTCAGTAATGGCTGCCAAACCAAGGACGAAGGAAGGCCTGAAAATACTCTCGGACTTAGATCTTTCAGAAACTGTCTGCTCTGAACAGCTTCTGGCTGGGTTAGGAAAGGCAGCAATAAAAGAAAACAGTCTCTGAAAACATTCCTTGGGCTGAGTAATGTGGGCACAATTGTTAACGCTATGACATGGTCAACAGGAATCCAAGCCAACTCCTTACCTCTGCGTCGCCGTGTTGCTCTCACATTTAATTCGAATCATGTAAACCCACAGTAATCTGTAGAGAGATTCCAGGGCCACTCGAGCCATTTTGGGGTCTTTATTCTACAACAAAAACCAAATGCAACACTGCTGATTAGTGATGTCTAGACTTGATTCTCTGAATGTCTGGGAAAGACAGGCCCAGTTGGATAGCAAGGTCCCTGCAAGGCACACACTCCATCATCTGGGACTCATGGGGTATTTGTCCTTCAATGCTCATTGACTAAACAATCCATGAGAAAAAATCCAAATGGCCCTGATGGTGGAACAGTCATTCTGGGGGAAGTCACATCATTCTCTCCTTTACCAAAGCGCACACTCAAAAAAGACTGCCTTCTCTCTCCTGCCCAGGAAACCCGATTCTTGTAGCAACAACCGTAGAAGCAATCTGTTCTTGCCATTATTAGGTCCTTTTAAACATTGCTATTGCTTTTATTCCTCTCCCTCTTCTGTCCCCATCCCAACTGATTAACCCCCAATATTTATTGACATTAATGTATATTAGGAGCTATGCTATAATCTTGAATATACAGAAAAAAAGTTTATTGTTCTCTTTGGATGCTCCCAGACAATAGGAGATGGGTGATAGGTAATAACGAGTCAACTCTAGGACAGTATTAAAACTGGTGGCAACAGGGTACAGAAAGACAACAAAGCAGTTGGGATGGGTTTTCCAGGAGCAGATGAAACTCGGAAGAAGTTTAAATCCATCCATGTTCTCAATCATCCATTCGACAGACATGTGCGTCGCTGCTTGGCACTAGAAACTTTGAAAGGAGTAAAAACAAGGGTGGGAGGAGAACTTTTTAAGCAGAGGCAACAGCACATGGAAGGTAAGAGAGCTGAGTGGGGTCATATTTAGGATCTCGGGACATTTGTATGCTAGTTAAGACCAGTGCAGGGAAGCTGGGTGAAGAAGCAGTGGCTGGTGAGGCTTGAGAGAAAGGCAGGAAACGGTAAACTTCCAGGAGGGGATCAGGCATCTCCCGGTGATGACAGGGAGGCCTGAAATCACAGAGACAGGAAATTCCACGTCTGGAGTGTGGGGAATGAGGCCGAGGCAGGCAGACCTCTTGATGTGGCAGCGGTGGGCATCCAGGCAAAGACAAATCAGCAGGAGAGGAGGGCAGGGATCCCATCATCTAGTGGACATCACCTTCATTCCTCACTTCTGAGGCTCACTCCACCCTTTCAACTGGTTTTGTGGGTTGTATCCACAAAAATGTCTCTTGAACTTGACATCCTCTCCATGGCCACTTCTGCAGTTCAGCCTCTAGCTCTGGTCACCTGGGGCCGAGCTGCAGGAACCTCCTGTCTTCCAGAGTGGATTCCTTCCCCATTGTGCTTTCCAATCATATATGGATTATAATCCTCTGAATTTATTAATTACAAATCAGGCATTTCCCAATGCCTGTAGGATCGAGTTAACATCTGTGTGCACGGCACACCTGCCCAGTCAATATCTGGCCCTAACCTACCTTTCTTGCTTCCCATCCTGTTATTCTCAAACTACAAGCTCCTCAAATTCCCGCTAGGCCTCCTTCCGTTTCCATGTCAGGGATGCCCCTCTCCCCATCACATCCTTTCCTTCTAAGTAAACCCTGATTTTTTTCCATGGTCAGTCTGAATGTCTCTCCTTCATGTAGCTTTCTCTATTCCTTCCTGATGTCCTGAAGCCCATCTCATTAAAAAGACAGCTGTGGAGGAGGAGGGGTAACTCAGTGATAGGGCCCCTCCCTGCCTGGCATGCACAAAGCCCTGGGTTTGGAACCATAGCACCACAAAAAAAGAAAACAAAACTAATTATTTTCTCCTGAGTGTCCCCTGACCTCATATACCTCCAATGTAGCCTTTAATTTCCTTTTTAAATGTCAACCTCTGGAAGTAGTGGGTTTTCTGACGGGATACATTATTATCTAATTAACCCTGGCATCTATTAGCATTTCTGCCATTCTACAGGAAATCAATAACTGTGTGCTAAACAGTCTTTCAGTGCCAGTCTTAGCCTCACAGAGTTCTACCCTGTGATCAGAGTGGATCATTTGGGGGTGCTCATAACTGTTTAGGAATAGTGTAGGATAAATTTTATCTCTAAACTATTACTGAATAAAGATGGGGCATAAATAAATGCTATGGGAAAGACTACAGTGAGTAGTTTTTAGATGCAGGGAAGGTCAATTTCTTATGTCTATGTAATCTAAAAGTAACTTTTACCATGGTCATTAGTCTAAAAGTCTAAATTTTCATTTGCATTTAGGTTCTATCCTTGTGATTGTTGTTCTATTTGTCTTTTCAAGTGCGCATGTGATATTAGTTTAATTATTAAAATTTTATGTATTTTAATGTCTTGTATGAATTACCTTGCATTGTCCATTGTGGTTTTTAAAAAATATTTATTTTTTAGGTTTAAGTGGACCCAATATCTTTATTTTACATTTATGTGGTGCTGAGGATCTAACCTAGTGCCTCATGCATGCTAGGTAAGCACTCTACCACAGAGCCACAACCCCAGCCCCATGTCCATTGTGGTTTTGAATTCTTTTTCTTTTTAGGGGTTTTCTAGATGTTCCTGCATGCTTACCATTCCAAGTAAACTTTGTAACTACTTGTCTATCTCCAGAAAAAAATAACTTGGCTTTTTAGAAACATGCATTTACAAGAAAAGTGTTTTTCTCTTCTCTTCTTTTCTTTTTTTGTCTAATATAATAGGTATCATTCATCAAATGTTTCAGTTACTTAAAAGAACTTCAAACTAGTAATACTGCATTTAAACTTTTCTCTCATTAAAAAATTTCAGGTATTCTGAATGTTCTTCCAGTTGCTCCAAATCAGTAAATGTCTCCAGAGTACTTAGTAGTTAAAAGCAGACTCTACACATAGACTGTCTGGGTTCGAACCTGTCCTGACTCCAATTTAATAGCTGTGTGGCCAGCCTTGGGGAAGCTCCTTAAGCTCTCTGTGTCTGATTTTTCCTGTCTGAGATACAAAAGACAAACCTATCTATCTCATAGGAGAGGTATGAGAGTTAAACAAGCAAATGCATAGGAGGCTATAGCACTCTGCCTGCCCATACTGCTTTGTTACGTACCAGGAATCCAGCAGTAAATAAGGGAAATGCCATCCTGTTCTGGGGGAGCTTCTGTTCTAGCAGAAATGTCTTCTCACTTATACATTTTCCTCTCTTAGTATATGTATTAGTGTTTTCAAATTGCATGATACATCATTTAAAATTCTCTCATGCACATTATCTCAATTGTGAATCATGATGTGGAAGGGCACGTATCATCCCAATTTCACTGCAGACCTTCACTGAAATCTCTAAAATGATTCACGTGTCTTCTGTTAACTTTAATTTCTTTCAAACATGTTTCCTGTCTTTCCCTCTCACCTTTTTTTGCCGTGGCTTATTGTGATTTGTGTTCTTTTATTCTTAACTATTGGTGCTCCCAGAGAGGCCAAAGAGCAATGTGGCTGAGGTTATTATTTTGTTTTGCTGGTGGATTAAGTACTGGTAATTGACTTGTAGCATTTCAGGGTGATATCACTGACTGCTATAATTGCCTCCTAAAGTGGTTTCCTTGCCCTTCTTTTGTTCTCCGTAAAAATAATATTAAGATGCAAACATGATTATTTAATTAAAAAATTTAAAGTCCTTAATTGGCTTCTAATAACCTACTGGACAATGTCCAAATTCCATAAAGAAATTCCATATTATATAGAATTGCTCAAATACTCTATTGGGACCTAATAGCTTGTCTCTACTTGAAGACATTCAGAACGCTTCCTCATTGTCTGTCTAATTCCTTCAGCCCCTAACACAATGACATAATAGGTGCTTGATGTTTATTTTGAGAATATAGACATTTTTAGCATATCACTGATTTCTGTATCAAATATTTCAACTTCAAGATCAAAGAACCATTTTTTTT